TCTTCTTTCAGAGCAAGAACAAGGAAGGAAATTGAAAATCCCAGAGAGCCCTGGACGGTCCAGATTTAGGGCTTTAGCTTTTGTTCGCACAAACTCACTTGGCTCCTAAGCGGCCTCCACCCATGATCCCGACATCCGCAGCAGCCGTTCAAAACAGAGCCCGGAGCCGCCCCCAGCCACCGCTGCCCCGCGCAGCCTGCCTTGCTTCCCAACCTTTCCCTGCAGACAGACAGCACTTTTCCGAGTCGAGATGAGTTTTTTCTCCCCTCCGAGAGCCTCGGATGATGTTAAGATTATGCAACGCTAACAGATGTGGGGTTTATAATTATAGCTGCCTGTCCTCGGGAGGAGCCTGCTGTAGCTCCACGCGCGGCGCTCGGCATGGGATGCTCCGGGGATGCTCCCGGGATGCTCCGGGGATGCTCCGGGGATGCTCCCGGGATGCTCCGGGGATGCTCCGGGGATGCTCCGGGGATGCTCCGGGGATGCTCCGGGGATGCTCCCGGGATGCTCCGGGGATGCTCCGGGGATGCTCCGGGGATGCTCCGGGGATGCTCCCGAACTCATGGGATGCTCTCGGGCTGTCCCGCAGCCCTGGCAAAACAAGCGCTGCATGGGCGGCTCCATTCCCATTCCAGATGGGAATGCTCCCCAAGGAATGCCCACCCTCCCGAGGAGGGACTGCTCCGGGTGAAGGGCTGCTCTGGACAGTCGACTGCTCTTGGCTTTCCTTCTGGGCGAGCTCAGATTACATTTGTGTTCCTCAGTCAAAAAAGTATTTTTCTGCCCCTCGAGGGGAAAAAAATCCCATCTGTAGGGAAGCAGTGGGGCTGGGATAACTTGTGGTGTGCCTTGGTTGGCTGCAGCCTCCTGACAAATGGTGCCTGTGGGGATGCTGCTCTCCTGGCATTAGCAGGACACATCCCTCCTCCCTCCCTGCCCTAAGATGCCTGTGTGTGATCACAGTCACTACAGAAAACTTGTGTTATTGTGCTTTTTGGTGTTGTGCTGACCCATGGCTGAGCTGTGAGCATCACCTAAATGCTGGTAGCATCTCTGAAACAGGGCAATGCCTGTGCTGTGTCAGGGATGGAGACAGAAAATTGTTGGCCCAAAAGAGATTTTTCAGGAGTCTCACAAGGTAGATATCCAACTGGGCTGCCAGGGGCAAGCCCAAAGCCTTGAGAAATCAGCTGGAACTTGATCTGTTTGTCCTGGCTGAGATACATAACTCAGCTCACAGCAAGCCACGGACTTGTTATGCTTGCAAAGAAAAAGTAACTCCGAGCCTCGACCTGTCTGGTGAGCATCACTGCTAGTTTTAACTGGGAAGGAAAACATCAGTCCAGTGGGTGGCAGCGTTTTGTGCTGGAAGTCAAACATCTCTCAGTGGCTGTGGTTATGTGGAGTTAAACCATGCGAAACTGTTGGCAGCTTAAGATGTGACAAAATTGTTAGTGACAGATTGGTACCTCAGCTGAAGAGCCACTCTGCTTTAAGCCTTTAATGGACCAGGGGAGGCCAGATGGTCCTGTGGGGATTTTTTGGGAAGAAGTTTGGTCTGGTCCATCCGCTCCAGAGGAGGGTCATCTTTGAAGTCTTAATTTTGGTAGGCAAATCAAAGAGGACATTGTAGTTATCTAGCGCTTCTGGCAGGCTCGATGGATGTGAGATTTCAAGTCTATTTTGTTGAACAGCACAATTTCTTTGTGTTTCCTCACTACGTGCTGTGGGTTGGATTTCCCAGTGTGGCTCACACTCTGCACCCACCGAACTGGGGAGCTGAGCACGAGGTTTTCCTCCCTGCATCAGGACCTGGCATACCTTGCAGGGCAGAGTTAAAAATGCCAGATGACTCTAAGAAGCCTGTGTAAATAATACCTTCTCATTCAGCCCCTCCACTGCCTGGCTGCACTCAAAGCCAGGTTTGCTGGCGCCCACAATAAGGGGAAGGGTTTTGCTTCAGTTTATTCCCAGCAGCTCTGCAGAGCCAAAAGAGGATAGTGAAAACTCTGAGGTGGATTTGCAGGGCAAACAACCACCAGATATGCAAACAGCAGTGTTTTACTTTTGAACTGGTCTCATTCAATCAAGGAGCATAGTTGAAGGCACTGCTTGCTGGCATTTCCAGGCTTGCTTTATAAGAAGTGGCAGTGAAATGCCTGCTGCAGTGTCATGCTGTATATTTTAGCCGGCCTGTCCAGAGCCCTTGTTGACAAATGAGTTGGCAGCCTGAGAAAGCAGATTTCCCTCTGTCTATCCTCATACCCTAAGGGTTTCTTTAAGCATCTGCTGCTTTGCCTGCTCTCCATGCAGCAAAACTGGCCACAGGCTTTCCAGTCAGCATGGGCTGCTGAAAAAAAAGCTGAAAGCTTTTAGTGAGAGGGGGATGGAGAGAAATTCAGTGCACTGCATCCAGCACAGCCACGTTTTTTGGGGCTGCTATAAATGGACTTGTGGTATACAATTACAGGCTGGGTATTGGCTCGGAAATGAATGTCCCCTGCCACTTCCCATCCCCTTGTCCAACTGGTGAGGACCAGAAGCTCTTCCCATGAGACTGGGGGTGGCTCACAGTGGGCTCTGGGTGGCAGTGGCGTCGCAGCCACTGTGGGGGTTGGCAGAAAAAGTACTCTGGGGGTTCTGCTTCACCACAGCTCTTGTCTCCTTGGCCCATATGGGGCTTAGACTCCCAGGATGAAGTACAGACTGCCCCACCTAGCCCTCTATTTTTTTGTGATTTCTCACTGAAGCTATTGCAGTTGGATAGAGGACACCACTTCTGCAGTTACCACCTCTGCTGTGGCAGGTACAGCAACTCATACAAGACATTCAAGACAAGGAGGAGGTGTCCCATAGGTGTTTCTCTTGAACACACAATTTTCCTACAGAAAATGTTTGGAGGCTCAGAACAGGTTTAACCTTCAAAATCAGAGCTTTTGGGCAGGGACTGACTGCCTTTAGCTGCTGTCTGCAGATGCCATGCACAACAGAGACTGCATTTTGGTTTTAAGGAAGATGGACAAAACAGGGACCTTGCCCTTTCAGATTTGGGCTTGCTTTGACTTGTTATGAGCTTTGAAGGTGCATCTTGGCTGCAGCCAAGACTTGTGACTGTAACATAGATGGTGGCTGCTGGTTTTTGCGTGAACTGATGTGCAGGGAAATCCTCACAGCCCTGGGTGGTACCATAAGCTGAAAACCCTGATTCCCTGGACCACCACTCATGCACAATCTTCTTCTTCATCTTGTTTCTCATGTTCTGGTAGACATTAATGTTAGAAGTGCCAAAATATTTCATCACCCTGGGGTACTTTGGCACCTGGGAGGGCTGTGTAATCCACACCATACACTGATCTTTATCCCCAGTGCCTCATGGTGGCTGGATGGGTTGTACTGACCCTCCTGACTGCCCTGCAGCTCTCAGCCAGCTTCATGCCAGCTCTCTGGAGGTGATGGGGTTTGAGGTCAGGTGTCCAGCAAGCACTGGCCAAGTGGAGAGAGGGGAAGAGCTGTGGGGCTCTCCCATCTTATATTCAGAATGGGGCATGAGGGATGTGCTGGGCTGTCAGCTCCAGAGACCTTCACACTCCTCCCATGGGCTCTACACTGCGAGTATTTCAATCAGTTATTTGTTTTAGACTTTCTTTTTGCTCCTTTCAAAATTTATTTCTCCTAACACAAAATAATCCTGAGGGTGCTGAATTGAATTAGTCTTTTGCACTGAGGTGGGTTTTGGTATTTGGTCCCTCAGACCAATCTAGTTTCCACTGGTGCAAATCCAAAAATAAATTTCATGTCTGTGTTTTGATTATGCAAAGTTTTTCTCTAGTGTAAGTAAATGAGCTCAGAGCTTGGCCTTGGTGTTACTGCAGTGAGCTGAGCCTGCACATCAGTGCTGATGGGATCTAAGTTTTTTTCTTGTCTTTCCTTTTAGTCATTGAAAGCAGCCATCAGGAGAGAAGTTCAAGCACGGAGATAAGGACCCCTGGTGCCCCCGTGGGGCTGGTGAGGATGCTGGCTGGGAGCAGGGAGTGGCACGGGGCAGTGCCAGCAGCAAGCAGGGGCAAGGAGCACACAGGTGCCCCTGCCAGTGATGGGGATGTCACCCTTCCAGGAGCAGGATCCCCAGAGAACCCTTCTGCTGGGACAGTGAGCCACCTGCTCACCCACAGCCATCCTCCTGGTGAGTTTCATGGGTGTGGGAGTCCCTGTTTGCTGTTCCCAGCCCACAGACTGAGCATAGCTGGTGGGTTAGGAAGTATTCCTGCCCCACAGCTAGAGATGCAGATTTTTGAGAGAAATCCAGTCTTAGAAAAGCTGGGCTTTGTTTTTTAACATTACAACAAAGATGATTCTCAGGAGCTGCCACTGTTTTTCACCACACAGCAGTACCCAGGGAGTCCTGCCCACCCACTGAGCTCAGGGGCTGTGCAAAGAACAGGGACCCCCAGGCATCCCCACACCTCCTCCCAGCAGGAACTGAACCCCATCTCAAGCCCAGCTATAAGAACTTAGCTTAAGGATCCCTGATCAGCTGTGATGATGATTTGTGGTGAGGTCCTTACATGAAAATCCTGCAAGTGAATACTTATTTTTGGGCTTGTTCAAAATCTTCAGCCATAAGTAAACCAGTGTACTCTTTTAAGCATGAACTTAAATCAAGGCCTGTTTCTCACAGCAGCAAGACAAATCTGTGCCCCTTGTCCTGTCCCCAGCTCAGTTTATTTCTTAATATCCCCAGCTGAAATGATATAAGAGTAGAGGTTTTCTTCCATTTTTTTGATTCCTTGTTCTTTTTCTGCTTAGGGACTAGAATATGGAGTTGGCATGCCCAGGCTGCCAGCTGTGGGCTGTTCTGGCACCAGCTCCTTACTGCCTTCTGCATTTTTAATGTCTCTAAAAAAATCAGTTTCTTTTGCCATGCACAAATGAAGACAGTGTTTAAAATGCCATTATTTTTTGGCGACAGAAACCCTCTGTTGCCATCAATCCCTCCTGCAGTTAAATTGTGCTGTGTTAAACAGAGGAAACATGAGGGATGCAGCTGTGACCCTTCCTGTTGCATGTGGTAGGGCTGGGTACCACTGCAGGTGATGCTGCTGCCACCCAGCTGAGACAAAAGAACTTTTCCAGGTGAACATGGGTCTCTCCTTGTTGCTTTCCAGACCCTGGAAACCATCACCATGCTGCAGGCAGGCAGAGGAGAGGCAAGAGGGCTCTGGCCTCTCCCAGCACCCCTGCAGCTGCTGAAGGGACAGCACCAGGCTCAGGAACCATCGGCACTGATCCGGCTGAGGGGACGCAGGGAGGGCACCATGGGGCCTGGAGCGTGTCAGGGTTTAACAACACTGTGAGGGCAGTGCTGCAAACTTCATCTTCACAATCTCATCACCCAGGTGAGCCATCCCACTTCAGCCTAGGAACACTGAGAAAGTGTTCCAACACCTGGGAACGAGGTGAATGCTGTTCCCCTGAGCAGCCAGCATTGGTTAAGCCTGGTTCCCCTGTGTTGTAGATCCTTGTGGATCCAGCTCTTCATCCTCACCATGCACTCAGGGTAGTTTTCTGGCTTGCCTTATGTGCAAGGATGGAGAGAAGAATCCATATGGCTTCTCCTGGTGCTCAGAATTATGAATTATGTGGTGCAGCTTCCAGACACAAAGTTTCTGTAGGCACAGTACAGACAGGGGGGATGAGGGGCAGGGGAAGCAGTGTGGAATGGTGTGCGGGAAGCTAAGCCCATCTCAGGGCTCTCATCTGCTTTCCCCCATTGCCTTTCAGGCCCTGACAGCCTCTCTCAACCAGTGAGCAGCTGGGTGGGCACAGAGCTGGGCAGCAGCCCTGCCATGGGCACTGCAGCTGCTTCACCCAGCCCCTCGGGGAGCAGCCCCAGCACTGCCCTCCCTGCCTCCCTGGGACAGCCCCAGGCCTTCTCCCAGGCTGCAAGGACCCAGACTGCTGCAGAGCACGTCATGCTACACCCCAGGGGTGTCACTGGGACCTCCACCAGCCCTTTGCTGACAGCATCACCTCCCAAGGACAGCACTTTTGGAGGTGAGCTTTGCTGGCCTTTGTTTCATAACTTTAAAAAGCCATTTTATAGTATTTGTATTCTTGAAGCAGAGAAGATGCTCTGTTTTGCTTGCATGTGCTCTGTTTTTTATTATTTGGATGGTTAGTTGAAATTCCCTGCTGAAAGCAGGAAAAAGCAATGGAAAAAATAATTTGATCCAACCCCCCCAGCATTTTCCACTTAAAAAAATGCAAAGTTATTTGGATGTTATCACAGTGTTTTCTGCAGGGTGGATGTCTGCAGCTGTGAAGTATCTTCACTGGGCCAGTGCCAGCTGCAGAGCAAGGGCAGCTCTGAGCCCCATCTGTCCTGTGCCCAAGTGGTGATGGGGTAGGGTGGAAGGTTGGGAACCCACACTTGTGGCCACATGGGTTTGCCCTCAGCTAGACAGGGTGAGATGTCTGTGCTTAGCAGCTTGCTCAGGGCAGCAAAACTGAGATCCCTGGGCTCCATGGCTTCCCCTTGCTTTCTCTGCAGCAGCCAGTTTCTGGAGTTCCCAAAAACAGACTTTGCCCAGCTCCACATGAATACTGAAAACCTCAGTGTTGCCAAATCCTTATCCTGTCTCCAGGGCTTTTCAGGAGCAAACACATCTCCAGGGCTCTCACACTGACACATCCCTTCCCTCTGTCACAGCTCTTGGGAGCACCACAGGGGCTGCAGGAAACCTGAGATCCAATATCCAGAGGACAGCGCCCTGCTAAGCCCTGGGATGTGCAGTGAGCTGCAGGCTCATATGGGAATGTGGCTGTGCTTAGGTTTCCTCCCTTTGCTGCTTGATGCTGTGCTCAAGCCACAAAAAAAAACCAAACAAACCAAAAGACCAAAAAAATTGAAAAAAAAGCTTGAGTAGTCTATTTCCAGCAATATTAGAGCAAAGGTGGGATTTAAAGGCAAATCCCCGCAGACCTTGTCCTGTGGGGTTTCCTGCTGTCTGGGCCACGCCACTCTCACAAAGCCTGGCAGCAAGCCCTGGGTTTTGTGCAAGGTCTTCCTGCGGTGAGGGGAGTCATGCCTTTCCAAAGGAGCACTGTGTCCAGATTGAAAACTTCCTATGCTTAATATCTGTATCTGCGCCATAAGCATCTGGGAAGAAAATGGATCCATCTGTTTATAATTTCATATGTATAAATCCATTTTTTTTATTGTACCATAGCCATTGGAAGCAGCTACCAGCCATCCAACAACTCAGCTACGGAGAGGTTTGGTTCGGATTTCCCCACAGCCGGCACCTCCATTCCCACAACAGCCACCAAGGGTGGAGGGAGGACATTAAGGTCTCTGCCAGCCAGCACCAGGCTGGTCACCATGGCAGAGATTTCCCTCTCTGGGACTGAAATCACCAGCTCTTCAGCCCAGAGCCAGACCCCTGGGATGTCTGTGGGTGCCCAGGGTGGTGGAGGCGGAGGTGTCACAGACCCATTGCTCACAGGCTTGCCGTCTGCTTCAGAAAGTGCTTCCACAAGTGAGTTTTGATAGATAGCTGTATACCTCAGAACTCTTATTTAAAGACTCTCTATTAACAAAATACATCCTTTTTATTTTAAAGAAAGGAGGAATAATATTGTGTTTGGCACATTCTGTACATTTAAAAGCATTTCACAGAAATGAAAGTATGGATAAATATTATTCTTGTTGGAAGGGGAGTATAGATTTTCCTTGAAAACTTCCAGTTGAATTTTGCAAGCAATAACTTCAGCAGTTCCTATTTAGAGACCACTTTTCCCCCCTTTCTTAATGATTTCCCAGTATTAAATATTTCCCTATTGAATATTCACACATATATTGTCTACATCTACTGATAGTGGGACTAAACCAACCCAGCAGTTTTTATTTATGTTTATGAAGTTTTGCCTTTCTCTTCTCCTTTTTCAGCTTTTAGCAGCAATTATGAACCCCCCAAGAGCATCCCAGGTGCCGAAGAGGCGCTGCTGCACTTGGACATCCAGGGTGCAGACATGTCCAGCATGGCAGTGGGGACACTGATGTCCCCAGAGAGTGGCCACACATCTGGGATGACAAGGGACTCTGCCACCAGCACCAACCCCACAAGCTCTTTGGGTGGCACCTCCTCTTCCTTGAGAACTGGGGCACATCATCCCAACAGCTCACAGGAAGCCACCGATCTCCCAGGTCCTCCTGGGGGTCCTTTGCTCACAAGCTCCCTCTCTGCCTCTGAAGGTCCTTTCCAAGGTAAATTTGTTAGTCTGAAAGCTGTCTGCCTTGGGGCTGGGTGAGATTTCACATCCATGCCCCGTTTTTCTTCAGTAGTCATTATTGGATACACGGATGCTTTCATTGCTGGCTGCACTGAGCTGGCAGTGGGGTGGGTGAGAAGGGATAGAGTGGAGCTCAGCTTTTGGGTGAAAAAGTGGAAATCGTTGGTGGCCTCATTACTAATGAAACTCCTGTCCCGGGAAGAACATTGGTAAGAAACACTGCACACAATTTCCCTGCCAGAGATGCTTGCTGGGGTTTTGCAGCTGTCACCAGGTGCTTTATCTGCCATGCAGGCTGGTCTGTAGGATGTGGGTTTGAGATTTTTCATGGCTTTTTGTAAGGCATACGTGCCTGTACTTAAGAGATTCACCTCTTCCCAGAGAAACACCTTCAGTTTCTCAATGGGCAGCACAGAAATGGGTGCTGAGCACACAGTCGTATGTACAGCTCTGTATGCATAGATCAAACCTGCTTTTATTGTATCCTAGGTGTCAGAAGCAGCCACAGACCAGTGGCTGAGAAAGCCTCCCTCACTTCCTCTGCCACCAACACTCCCATTTCAGCCACATCCAGCGGTGGTGGGAGGCCAGCCAGGTCTGCCTCGGGCAGCAGCCGCTGGACAGCAGCCAAGGGCTCCACGTCCAGCAGTGCCATGCACAGCACCTTGGGCACAACCCAGTCCTTGTCCACATCTTCTGTGAGAGAGACCTCCAGAGCTCAGGGGTCCACAGGAATGACAGATTTCACTGAGGTGGGAGACCCTTCCCTAACACGCTCTCACTCTCCTTCGGAAGGTCCTTCCCCAGGTGAGCTCACGTTAGAATTGAAATACCATTTTTCTCACATGCCAAAGGAGGAATTCCTGTAGCTTGCACTTACCTGACTCCTTCCTGCTATGTAGAATATACTGTTTGGAAGGATACAGTGTGATTTTGTGTCTGAAATTATTCAGCTCTTTCTTGATCAAAAAAAAAATGCTTTAGTTTTTTTACAGAAAGGGCACGTGTGTGGAAAGTCTCATTATGCCAAGAAAAATAATTAACTTTCAAATCACAGTCCTTTTTTTACTATCTCCAGTTGCTGTCTCCATGTTACAGACAAGAGAACTAAGCAAGTGAGGGTTAGATCATGTCCCTGTGGTCCCAGGGATCAGACTTCAGTTCCTACCTTCTGTCCTACTTCTTGGATCACGCTGCTTCCCAGAATTTGAAGCAGCTCAACAAATTTAAGGCAACTTTGAATGTGGTTTCTGAGGTCCTTCATGCTGCTGTTTCATCATAGTCCCCACTGTGGTTCTGAAGGGGTCTGTTCCCCTGATCCTGTTTCTTCAGACTTTTCTAAGACCTTCACACTGCTCAGCGTTGTGCTTTGTCTGAACTGATTTCCAGGCTTTTCTGGGTCGTCACGATATTTGTTCTAGCAGCATGGAGTGCACTCAGGCACATAATGGTGAAATCAAGTGCACAGCATTAGTATTTCAACAGTTTTTATATAATAGCTCTTCTGTCAGCGTCACGCTGTTTTTTAGAAGACAAATTTTTGTAGGCAGAATTTACATCTTTGGAAATTGGTATCTTCTCATATTTTCTACTTGTGTTTGTGTACTCGCTGCCTCTGGGTACAATTGGAAGAAAGCTTATTTTTATTTATAATTTCATGTGTGTAAAAATGTAACTTATTTCTTTATCACATTTTAGCTACTGGAAGCAGCCATGTGTCATTCAGCATCCTGTCAACAGAGAGAAGAACCAATTTCCTCACCGCCAGCACCTCCGTTTCCACAACAGGCACCAAGGGTGGAGGGAGGACATTAAGGTCTCTGCCAGCCAGCACCACACTGGCCCAAACAACAGAGATTTCCACCACTGGTGCTGAAAACATCAGCTCTCCAGGCCATTCCCATTCCTTGGGAACCCAGGGTGGTGGTGGCAGAGGTGCCGCCCTGAACCCATTGCTCACAGGCTCGCCATCTGCTTCAGAAAGCACTTCCCCAGGTGAGCTCTGGCCACACATCAGACACCCACCTGCATGGAGAGTGAGAGCATGCTAGAAGGTGCTGAATGATGGCATTGGACATTATGGATGAAAATTTTGTGGCCTCGAGATTTGCTGTGTTTTCAGGGACAGCACCACTTCAAGACTGCCCCATTTGCTATGTTTATACTGGCAGAAGCAGCTGCAGTCATTCCTGACTCCCACTCTGGGGTGCAAAGGCAGTATTTACTGATCCCATACAAACCTGCCATGCTTTATTTCAAGTACCAGAGGTTTGGGTGCTGTGTAACCTCCCCCTCACTCAGTGTGGGTGCAGAGGTGACAGTGTGGGTGTCTGGTGCCCAGTGGCACCGGGGGCAGCCCCAAAGGGAAGCAAACCCTAAAGTGTTCCCATAACTTGTTCCTAGTGCCTTGTCCAGGGTGCTCTGCTGTGAGCAGCCCCTCTTTGCACAGGAGAGAGCTGTGCCTTCACAGTTAGCATTTTCCACAGGATTGGGTTTTCTGCCACGTTCTCTCTGTGCCCTCAGCCTGAGGTTGGTGATGGAAGAGAGAACACCTGCTTATTCATAATGTAGGGTGCACAAATAATTTTGCTTTGCTCTTTCTCAGCAGACAAGACCTCAGCAAGGGGAGGGCACCTGCCTCTCACCAGCACAGCTGGTGTGGTGACAGCTACTGCCCGTGAGGAGAGCAGCACAGTGCCTGTGTTGGACACCCGTGGAGCTTCCAGTGCCACAGGGAGCTCCTCTCCCTCTCCCCCCTACACCAGCACCCTGGACACAGTCCTGCTGTCCTCAGCAGCAGCAGAGCCTGGGAAGAAGAGTCATGTTTCACAGAGCAGTACTGGACTCAGGGAGCTTCCAACAAAGCTGCTGCCTGCATTTTCTCCCAGCATTTCAGTGCCTTCACCTTCAGCCACACTCTTCATCCACAAGGAAGGGACATCCCAAGCCCCAGGTAGCCGCAGCATGTGGAGCACAAAAGCAGAAAGCCTCACATCTCAGCCTGACACAGCTGGGGACACCCACACCGGCCCTGTCCCGTCCTCCACGGCATGGCCTCGAGTGACACATGTGTCATCTGGCCAAGCAGGGTCCCCAGAGCCCAAGGTCACCCTTTCATCCAGGGTCTTCACCTACTTCTCAGCTGCTGCTGAACCTTCCAGTGAGTTTTTCTGAACTCTGGGGGAGCATTTGACTGCCTCTCCCTTCCCCTCCTCTGTAGGATTAGTATGACACAGCTGTTGCAGGTGTCATGGGCAGCATTTATAAATGGTTGTGGTTCTGCACAGTGGTTCTGTATATTTGCAGCTGTTGGTGCTCAACAAGAAAGGTCTCATTCTTGAGACTTGTTGCTTGTTGCTGTAGGACACACTGACTGTCTGCTGGGTTGGGGTGATAATTATAAATAACATAAACATCCCATATTCTAATGATGCTGATTCCTCGGTATTTGGACAGTCCTGTCTGCTGGGAGATGATAAAATCAAATAACTGCTTTTCAATCCTTTTCCAGCTCCTGGCAGCAGCCATCGCTCCCTAAGCAGCTCAAGGGCTGAGAAGAGGATGTCCAGCCCCATCACTGATCCCATGTACAGCTCATCCATGTCCGGGGGTGCTGAGGAGAGGATGCTGCACCCAGTGACAGATGGCACATTGGCTGGTGCCATGGAGAGCTCTTCTGTCCATGCTGAAGCTTCCAGCCCTCCAGAGCCATCTGAGCCAGCGCTGGTGGAGCAGGGCAGGCCAGCCAACGCCTCCACCAGCAGCGGGGCTTTCACGGGCTTTGCCACGGAGACGGTCTTCGTACGTTCTGCCAAGATACCCACTTACTCTTCTTTCCAAAATGATCTCACAAGTAAGTTGATGTCTCCTGGAGTACATTTGGGGGGGAATTCACATCGTCCTGTTTTTCACTATGGTGTACATAAAGTTCTCGTTCATTACTGCATTCAATATCACCTGTGGGTTCACTCAGGGGGATGTTTCCATCAAAGGACTCAAAACCAGACCCCACACAGATGGGGAACTATTCCAGAAATGGAGCCATAAACACTCCTGTTCTGATGGCTGAATCACTTTTTTTTGTGTCCTAACTGGTTTATTTTGGGTGATGCTTTCGGAAGATTTTTGGGATGACCTAAGTCAGTTGTAGAATTAAAACAAATTTTCAATACTATTTTTAATTTTTTTAAAGTTGGCCGAACTTAGCTGTACATTCTGAAATTGGTATTATAAGATTGATTGCACCTTTTATGCTAAATAATCTGAATTTTTTGCAGGCTGATGTGCTGTTCATTTAGGTTTTCCTGGCTGCAAAGTTTTGAATCACTGGGTTCAGGATAAGCTGCAAATTAACATAATGTAATAATTTCATCCTGCAGAGTCATGAAGTTCACTGTGTCTAAAAAGAAATTGACTGAACAAGATGGATATTCTGTAGATGGGAATGGAGGAAAGAGGGAGAGGATATGAGTTTTTTTAACAACGAGTGATAAAGAGAAGAATTGGGTTTTCCTGCTTAGCTTGCCACAAATATCACAGAATGCTAAGAGCTTGATCACTTTAGGAAAGCAGTATGTGAAGAAGTGATTTGGAAACCTACACATTTCATGGGAGTCTTGTGTCTGTCAGGGTTGACCATTTTAGAATCAATTAAGGAGTGGATAAGACTCCTAATCCCATAACCATGCTTGAATGGTGCTTGAAATTTTTAGAAAATCATGATGTTCACATCATGTTCACAGACAAGAACATCTTATTTAGCAAGCAGTTCTAATATAACTTCAAAATGCTTTCATATTACTTTGTCTTTCTACTATTTTTTGTCCTTTTACTCCAGACCTTTCAGGTAGTGGTCAGCCACTCAGTAGCATCGATGCTGAGAAAAGGACCTCGGTTTCTCACACAGACGGCACATACATTTCAACCACGTATACCAGAGGAGGAGAAAGGACCCTGCTGTCTATCTCCAACAGCAGCACCTCTGCTGATTCCTCTGAAAGTTCCACCTCTTTTTCTGAAATTTCCAGCCCTTTTGATGCTTCACAATCCTCTGTGGCTCACGACAGGCAGACCAATGCCTCAAACAGCAGCAGTTTCGTTGAACCATCTACGGAGCCGTTGCTGGTGCACCCTTCCAAACCGTCGACATCTGATTCTATGGGCAGCATAGAAAACACAACTCTGTTCAACACTGACTCTGAGTTGTTGACCACTGATGGATCATCTCTGTCTTCATCAGCATTTCCAGCCTCTCTGTCATCACTGCAGCACTCGCTGTCATCAACACCACCACCAACTCATCTGTTTACACTGTCAGACTCACCTGAGCCACGCTTGCCCTCTGTGATGGCATCTTCACCCCCTCTGCAGCCTTTGTCATCCTCCTTGCCCACTTCCTCCTTGCCTGCCCCCTCTCACTCATTAGCATCTTTATCGCCTGTGTTTTCATCACCCTCATCCATCTCGCAGTCCAGCGAGAGTGACCAAGCAAGCACCACTGTGGCTATGAGTGTGACCAGGCAGGTGCCCTCCACAGCCACCACAGCCAGGAGCTCACCCAGAGAGACCAACAAGCCCAGTGTCACACACCACCCCCAAAAGAGCACCACTTTCACTCCCACCAGGTCACCTCTCCCTACGGCACCCATGGAGCTGCTTGGTGGACGCATCGTGTCTGTGTCCTCTCCCGTGACGATAACAGAGACTGCCTTGCCTGGAGATGCCACCACCCAAAGGGACAGCTTTGGGAAGGCAACACCTCTGCCCACCACAGCCAGTGTTGTTCCACAGGCTGGTCCAACAGACACACCCCTCAGTCCCTCTCCAACTGCGACAAATCACAGCAGCATTGTCCCTGCAGTGGCAGCGACCACGGTGAAACCTCCTATGCTGACAACGCCGGCTGGTCGCCAGCCCACCCCAGATGAGACCAGCACCGTGAAGGACCACAGGGCCCAGACACCCCCTGCCACCAAGCACAGCTATACCACTGGTAAAAGCACAGAAGCCGTGCATCCCACCACTTCAAAGCCTGGTAAAGTCACTGAGGAAAACCTCCATGTTACGAGTCCTTCTGAAGCCACTCCAACCACCAAGACCACTTTGAGCATTGCAACTACTTTGGCTGCTACCAAACCAACCACTGTTCCTCCGCTGAGCAGCACGGCAGGGCTGAGGACATCACCTCCAGCAACAGGTAATGTGTGCAATGGCTCTCACCAGTGGTGGGGCCAGGAACAAGCAGGGCAGGAATACCTGGGTCCCACTTGAAGAGTTTTCAAAGAGTTGTGTGTGCGTGTATGTATGACAAGTGTTGTCAGCAGGGTTTGAGACAATAACTCATCTCTGTGTTGGTTTTTTTAAGCTAAGGGTTTAGCAATCAAGTTGAATGGCTGAAATAAGGGTGAGCACTTTGGTGAACATTTCTGGTAGAAAGATTAGGCTGACATTTGACAGTTTCAAGAAAATAAAGCTGCTTTGCCTTACAAGTAAGCACAGAATGCACTTTATATTTGTTGATAGGTTAACAATCAATAATAATTGATACCTGTCTTATTAATGAGAAAGTACACTTGGCCAGCCCTTGGTATTTTTGTTGAAACTGCTTCTCATATCACATATCACAGCCTGTTTTCTCCCCATCTCACTAAATATTAATCTTCTACTTTGGAGCCTGATGCCTCTTCTGGTAGGCTATGTACCATAGTCCTGCTGAGTGTGTTACAGTAATTTATTACCACTGCCAGTCTCCTTATCTTCTCAAGTAAATACATTTGCTGAAATCTTATATGAAAGGAAATTGGCTTTGTGTTTGAAGTTCAGAGCCCAGCTATCATGCCACTGTAGGATATTGTGTGTGCTAAAGGCATTAATCTCAGTGAAATATTTGCAATAATATATATTCCGTCCAACAATTAAGTATTTAAAGGTTACTTCTCAGGCTGATTGGTTTTAGTTATAGCTATTGCTTCATGCAAAAAAGAAATCACTTTACTGGAATTAATTTTTTTTTAATTGAAAAATGAAGAGAACGTATCTTCTTTAGCAACTGATTCACACTTTTGCCAAAATATTCTTTCCTTTGAAAACTGAGATTTGCCATTTACTAGAATGCAAAAGATCCTTCTGTGGTCTTGGACACGGTGCTTTGTACATGGGTAATCACTGCCCTGAGAGAAGCTGCCCTGGTCTGTGCTGTATGAAGCACAAAGTGAAGGATGGCAAAGTGAAAGACATGGTTTTAAATCATACCCACTCATTTCTGGCTGCATAGATTAGAGTCACCAAATCTGCTTCTCACTGGTGCTGAGGTAGCTGTGCCAGGCTAGCCCAGGCATGAGACTGCATCAAGTGGCATATGCCAGTGCAGAGTTTGGCTCGGGGCTGCCAGGTCTGTGTGCTGCCATGGGGTATTGCAGTGCCACCAGAAATGCTCACACGAATTTGGCTCTTGTGCTTGGTGCTTTAACCACAGAGCCTGTCCTTCCTGCCTCTGCTGCAGCACTCAGCAGCAAACACAGGACAGCTGCATATGGTGTGTAAGATATCTTGCTAATCTCATAGAGCCTTGACACTGACAAGTCCACAGCCCTGCCTGTGGTCTGCCCTCGTGTGTGTGTGTGATGTGTGTTTGTGCTCATGTGAATCAGAGATGCAGCAAGAGGAGTTTTTTTGACCAGGACATCTTTTTCCCTTTTTTTAAGAGGAAATATTGGATATATTCTTCAGAATTTGCAGTTGGAGTTGTGTAATCAGTGAAGCATCTGAGATTACAGTCCTTAATCCCCTGAAACACCATATTATCTCAGTGGTGTCAGCTCCCCAAGCTCTTGGCACCCAGCAGGAAGGGCCCTGTGAGTGATGGCACAGGCAGGAATCACTGCTGTGACCATCCCCAGCCTGGCATGGAGGAGCTCTGGAAAAAGGAGATGGCTGCAACCAGGGCTGCCTTCACCATTACTGGGTAATCTACAGACTGGATCAGTGCTCAAGCACTACCTTTGGAGCAGAGAAACAGGGCTTGGATGAAAAGGGCAGGACTTTGGTGAAGCAGTCCATGCTCACATGTCTAGCTTGGGCTGTTGAGGTTCCTTCTTTGGGATTCTCATGCATAAACTGCTGGGTTGTTTGTCTCTGGAAAGTACCCTGAGATCTTCTGAGGGGCAGTGCTGTAGATCAGTTGGATGTTCATATTAACATGGATCCATGCTGGACCCCAAGGGTTTTTGAATGAATATTCAAGTGGTTTATATTTATTCTTTCAGCTCCAACAGAATAATTAGGATCAGCATAAATAGTAAGTGCAAATGATGCAGTGAAGCATCTGATAATGCTCGAGGAGTCACAGATGGGGAGCCAAGATCATCTCTTTTAGCCCAACAGTTGACGATTTTTATGATTCTGTAAGTATAATCTGGGTGGTTTTTTGTTTGTTTTTCTTTTTTTGCTTTTATAGAGGTGGATAAATGTCTTTCCAACCCTTGTCCTGCGCTGGCCACCTGCAACAACACCCATGACTCCTATATCTGTCAGTGTCCTCTTGGATATGAGCTGGAAAAAGGAAAGTGCAATTTAGGTAAGAAAACAAAAGTGAAAAACCAGGGATGGAAATAATTACCTTTAATCTTCTAAAATAAATTGACTTAGGCTCAAACGAGTTCAGGAGCTTGATGTTCCTCCCAACCACCACTTTTATGGGAGCCTTTTAGTGTTTATACAAGTGTGATGTCTAATGCCTGTCGTGTTGGGCTGCCTGGGGAGCAGGCAGAGATATCTGAGTGCTTCTTAAAAATGCAGCAATGCAGAGGTGGGCTCAGGCTTGGTAGTAAGGACAGATGTGCCCCTTCTGTTCCTGATGTGCTTTAGAACTCCCAAAAAGCATCCAGCAGCTTATCAGCCCTGCAGACTCCTGTGAAGGCACTTGGCTTGGGAGGAGTGAGTGGGGCTGTTGTGTAACCTGGCTTCAGTGGGATCAGCCATGTGTGGAAAGTTAAGCAGCCGTGAAAGTCTTTGTAGGATCAGGGTCTTGTTTCATACCTTTAGCATTTTTTGAGCAGCACAGTTATTAGCTGGAACTCAGGTTCTGACCCCTTCCTTTTTGTTAGAGGACTCTCAGTCTCAAAGACTTACAATATCCCATTGTAAAGGGGAATTTGTTTTCATGGATTTTCTTCTGACCCTTAATCAATGAGGATTAGAGGCATGGAAATTTTGCTAAGGAAACATGGATGAGGTGTCCCTGAAGAGTGTTTTGAACATTTTTTCGAGTTGGGATATGTCAGCTTCTAATTTAGAGACTTGTTTTGATTATGCCTTGAACTGGGATGTGGGCAGATTATATAAACACTGTGAAGGTGATTCTCATCATAATTTTTGCCTGCAGTTGTTACATTAGTGATGTGTGATATATGATTTGTGGTGAAGATAGGTTGAGTGGATGGGAAAGAATTGGAGACTTCATAATGTTATCTGCAACTGTATTTGTTTTTCTGGTGGAACATAAAGCTGGAGTTCTGAGTTCTCATTTCCACTGAGTATCTCATGACACTTAATACAAGATTTAGGGGTATTATCTCTGCAAGTCTGGACAACTCAGATTACTGCATTCTGTTGCTGTGAATCAAATATGAATCTAAGCACAGAAAAATGCATCTTTTGGACCTCTCTTCAAATGTCATTGCTCATTCTCTCCAGCAGTTTAAAAAATGAAAATGTCCTTTCTACAGTGCTTTATTTTGACTTGCTGATTTGATTTCCTTCCATTGCAGGGAGGAGTAAGAGATTTGACATGTTTACCCCAAATTATCATAAATAGCTTTGCTACCTGACACTGTCTTCTTACTAAATTTACCCATCTCTGGATCTATTTAAGTTAGTCTGTGCTTCTGCATGAAATGTATGAACACAGAAGTGAAATGCTGTCTGTTTAGCAGCACTGAGCTCTGGAATTTGACTGGGACTGTGGGAACATTGCAGCAACCCTTGTGAAAAAAACCCAAGGCTGTGACTTTACTTTACTGGGGCAATGACTCTCAGATCTAAATTTTCTGTACGCCTTGTAAAGAGATTTTCCGTGCAAACAGCCCCTCATGTAAAGCAGATGAAAGCACATCTATGTGTGGCACAAAGATGTGTTCCAACTAACTTGTCTTATTCTACTTTTTAGTGAGAGTATTTATTGGCCAGGTTCCCCTGAAACTTAATATCACCCATGGGAAGTACACAGAGCTCTTCCACATTGAGAAGGAGATTCTGGAGATGGTAAGTGTCCTTGCTGGGGCTTTGGCAGTGCTGATGGGACAAGTCCCCTTCACTTCTCTTATGGCTGTCACATTTCCCAGCCATTCAGTTGTAGCCATGTGGCTCTTGGTCAGCTGAGAGCCAGTGCTGGACAGGCTGTTGGCTTCCCCATAGGCTGTGGCATCAATAGGTCCAAAAGGACCCATGGGCTGGGGGTAGGTACATCCCTGTGCAGTTCTTATCCAGATCACTGCATGCACAAGTTCATCCTGTTAGTGGTTCCTGGGCTGGGTGCACTTTATTCCAGCTCTTTGGAGCAGGTGACTGGGGGATGCTGCCAAAGGAAGGGGGTGCTGGGTGGAGTCACTGTGATGCTGCCTGCACAGCTTGTGCTGGGGAGTAAACACAAACAACTGCACAGATCCAGGGTCAGGGAAGATCTGCAATCTCCAAGGGTGCTGCTTTGAGGTCGGCCTTGCATGGGCTCTCTCCCTGCTGACATCTGGCTCATCCCTGGTCTTTGTGGTCATTACACAGCAGGGCCACAGGCAGATGCTCATGTCAAAATCCCCGGGGTTTTGTTCTGGCCCCAGGCTGTGCAATGGTGACTTTGTCCACCTCTTACTGGCAACAGAGCGGTGAATCTCTCTTATAGAGCAGATGAACTTCTGGGGTGCTCAGAGCCCCCTTGGGCTCAGCAGGCATCTCTGGGAAACACAGGGGATGGTGTGACTGACCCAGGAGGACTGTCCCCTGCTACATCCCATGGGGCTGCCTCCTTCCATCATGCCCTGGGGCACTAACAGCTGCTCTCTCCCTCCTTGCAGCTCAATGCATCGCTGTCAGGCTTGCCAGGATACCACCACTCCACAGTTAAGGCAAGCAGGTAAGGCTGAGGCTCCTAGGGGGCGAATGAGAAACTTGAGCATTTGGGATCTTCAGCTTGAGATCCACACTCTCCATTTTGAGTCAGTGCTGGGCTTGATACAATGCAGCTGGCAGTGGTACAGGGCGAGAGGAATGCCTGACAAGCTGCCCAGGCTCACCTGGCACTCTCCTCCTGACCTGAGCAGCTTGGGGATGGGCTGCCCAGGAGGGATTTATGGCTGGTTCCAAGGTGGGCTACCAGCATCCCTTCCAGCTCCATATTATCCTCTCTGTGTATTGGTTAATCCTGGTCTTAAGGTCTGTTGCAGTGGGTGGCTCTTGCAGTGTGTGTGTAGTGCTGTGTCTGTGATAAGCATCTCTTGTGTTAACAGCAGTCCCATGTATAAGGTGCTAATGATGACATCAGACTGACCTGTGATACTCAGGGCTGTTTTGTTTTGTCTTGTTTTTTGTTAGGGAGGCAAATTTTGTGCATGTTTCAGTGCAATCCACGTTCTCTTTAGCATCCAACGTGACTTTCTTCGATGTTATCGGCAGTGTGAAAAGCTACATTCGCGCTTGCAAATCCCCCACTGAAGCCTGCCAGTTCATCTCCAGCCTGAAATCACTCCACAGAGGTAAATAGCATCTGGAAGGACTGTGGCAGGAGGGGAAAGGGATGTTTTATTTGGCTCCTTTTATAAAAGGGGAGAACCTTCTGTCATTTGGAAAAATCCATCTGAATCTTTTTATCTCACTTAAATGGGAGTCATCTTAAGAACCTCCCAGCACAAAAGGGATGCAGATACCAAAGCCTTATCTTTGCCACATGTGTGAGAATTCTGCCTCTGTGAAAATACTGTGCAGCACAGGATTAGAGACATTGTAGGGCTGCCTTTCATCTCTGGGATGTGACACTGGGCCCAGCCAGATCAAAAACCTGTAAGTCTTAATTTCACACACACTGCCAGGAGCCAGGGAAATGGTGTGAAAGCCAAGAGACAAAACCCTGCCAGTGAACTCGATTAGGGCTGCTGGAGGCTGCACGGGGGGCTCTGCCCTCCTGCCTGCTCAGTTTCAGTGTTGCAGGTTGTAAAATGGTTCACAATTAAGACCTTTTGATTTCTGTACTGAATCCTCTGCCTGCCCAGGGGAAATGTGGATACAGCACAGGAAGATGTGCAGAAGGACACCAATGTTGTGTGTGACCTTCTCCAGGTGCTCCAATGCTGTGCCCTGGCATCTCCCAGTTCTCACTTCCTGAGGGAGTGATAGAGGAGATTTACCTGTGAGAGGTTCCTCAGGATCCCTGCAAGAGTTTCCTGCAAGGAAACTGCTGCACATGGCATTTTGTGACTTTGGGGTTCAAGGCTTTAAGGTTTGGCCTCAAGGGGGATGAAGGGTGGCAACATATAGCCTGGGTTTATTGGGAACCCTCCTGTATCATTCTAGCAAAGTAAGCATGCAGATGAAAAGTTTAGTGTGTGCATTTATTGCAGTGTGCTGTATTTTAAAGCCATACTCTGCCCATGGATTGCTTTAAATTATTTGGGTAAACCTGCTCAGATTATACCTACCCATTTCCTCTGATACAGTGCATCTGTAAAGTCAACTCCTGACTTGAAATAAGCAGAGTAAGAAACAAATTATATTCTTGTGTAAGTACCTAGAAGAAAAGATGTCAGATTAAAAAAAAAAACAACAACAACAAACCTAGCAAGGAGAGGTTTATAAATGCAGACTGCCAAATGAGTGACATATTTTCCATAAAATTGTATTTCTTATGAATATTTATTCATTCCATTTAGTCTGACCTCCCAGTAAAAAATATAAATTTGATGTCACAGTTTCCATCCACAGTTTTTCTAAATGCTCTTTGTAACAAGTCTGACCTTCTGAATTAAAACACTGCTTCAAAGTAATGTAAATGAAAGTACAAATTTTTTGTAAAAAAAATTTTGTTTGAAAAATGACAAAATCCAGTGCTTAATACTGAAATGGAAAAGAATTGGTTTGGTCTAAGCAAAATGTTTTGCTTGATATAAACTTAAAATTTGATTTGTTGAACTGTGTCAGGGGATGACTGTGTTTGAGCTTGAGCCAAACCAGACTTCTCTTTTTCATTTCCCCTTCTGCTTCTGAACTGAAACATTTATTATTCACCCCCTCTATCTGCCTGTACAAATGATGGTAGATACACAAGAAACAGTGATATAGCGTAATGTTGATTCCCTCCTAATGGAAAAAATATTACAAAAAAGAAAAAAAATAAAAATAAAAATTAAAGCAGCACATCAGCTGAATGGGCTGTCCAGGTAAAGCAGAAGTGCATAAAGGTGGGTTCAGAGAGAACCACGCTGATGTTGGCCACCTCTTCCCAACAGCTGGCAGCTTGTGCAGACAGAAAGACCCTGAATGTGACAAGGAAACTTCAGAATGCACCGACTTTGATGGAATTGCTCTCTGCCAGTGCAAAAGTGGGTACTTCAAATACAACAAGATGGACCACTCCTGCAGAGGTATTGCTCTTTATGCAGTGTATTTTGCCTGAATTTTCCTCAAAGCTTTTGTTCCAGTGGAAATGAGTGTGTGCATATATTGCTGTGCATGCAAAACCCTCAATATTATGAATAAATATTAGCAGCTCAAGTTTCTTTTATTTAGTTAGGGGGCTTTTCAGCAGACACTGAAGACACAGTCTCTCTCTAGGAATAATATTATCTCTTTCTGGAGCATGCTGTGAGTCACAGTGATTGAGGAGAGGGAGAAAGGGGCCTGGCTGCTTTGGGCTTCAGTTCAGTGGCACACAGCAGAGATGACGTGTGTCTGCCTGTTTTGATTTTGTCTGAACTCTCAGTGAACTTAGGGGAAGTGCTTTAAACTCAAAAGCTTATATTAATACATCATCTGTATTTTAAAAAATTGTATCTGAAAATGACTATGAATTTATTTTTCAGCTGGGTTCCAAACAGAAATTTTAAGCTTAAAGATTGCATTATTTTTTGGCTACTTCTCGGATCAACAAATCTGGTTTTGCTGCATTTTAAACAAAGTCTTTACATGCAAGTGTTCAAAATGACTTCTGGAGGATCAGGATATCCATTCCCTAGTTTGTGGTTGCTGTAAGGCTTCTTAAGAAATGCAGTTTTCTGATGACATATCAATAACAATTGCAGTAGTGGAAATATATTGCTTCTGGCACTGCCTGCTGGGTTGCTCCTGAAACAGGAGGAGATGTTTTGTTGGTTCCAAATCTGAGAGTGAGAAAAATGTGCCTGGAAATAACACATGTGCTACAGACCCTGGGAGGGACAGCTCAGAGATGGGCATCTCTGCATGCCAGGTCATGGCCCTGCCTCTCCTCTCTGTGGCTCTTTTGTGACAAAACCTTCGCTCTCCCCCGTCCTCTCTCCCCTTCCCTCCTCCTCCCCTCTCTCCTTCATCTGGTATGTTGAAGAAGGGATTTATTTTGGGAAATATTGAGCATCTCCACCTACCTGAGAGGGGCCTATGTAAGTGAGTGAGGAGCTGAGCTGAAACTTGGGAAGTTTTTACCCAATTCTTGTTCCATCATGGTCAGTGGAGGCCCAGGGAAAGTTACTTCTTTTGTCTTGTTCATGTCTCTTGCCAAGTAGTGAAGATAAATACCTGAAAGACTGTGAGGCACTTGGATGTGATGGTTGCAGAGGGCTAAGGGGTCTAAGACCTCAGACATGTGGAGACCTCCACACTTATGAACCTTGTTTACTTCTTTTTGGAAAATATAAGAACCTTATCTGCAAACAGTGAGATCTCAATTCCATCTTCATCTCACTGCTGTCAGTAGGAGACACCTTGCTGATCAGCTTGAGAGTGTCTGAGGGACAGGGCTGATGTTGGATTTAGGCTGTGGTGCAGAGGCATGAGGGCAGCACTGACTTCATGGTGCCACTCTCTGACAAGATGCCAGGTTTGCATTATCACTTGTGCCCATCTGGGCAAGCCAGGAGGTTGGGATTTTTAAAGGCTTTTCCAAAAGCCAAGCTATGGCCTCCTTTTGATATTTAGGGCTATTTTACTGATAAATATAGCATACAATATACCAGCCTCTTTGAAATTCTCTGCCCTTTTGGTCCCTAAACAGGAACCGAGGTCTCGTGAGCATCCGACCCTCATTGTGGGCTGTGAAAATGTGGTGTAGTAGCTCCAATTATAGTATTTGCAAGGAGGGAAATGGCTATTGTGCTTCCCTGTCCGGTCTCCCCCGTGGGAAGGTTGAGGGAATTGGCTGCCCTGAGCCACAGGATTTGTGCTGTTCTCCTTGTGGCATCTGTCCTCAGGAACATGCTTGGGAAAGCATGCCATGGGCCAGGGAAGGCTTGGGTCTCTGAGCCACAGGAGCTCCCACATGTTGGCCAGGGCACCTCTTGCTGTGCTGTTCAGTGTCTCTGGGTCACTGCTGATTTTCAACCTTCTCAGTATCTTCAGGGCTATTTCAGTAACAGAGCAACAAAGCCGATGTGCCAGCTTTTCAAGGGCATGCTATTTTTACTAGTACAGAGTGTTTCTGGAGTGAAGCAAAGAGCAGCAAAGCAGGTTTCCAAAGAGACCCCCGAGTGTCTTTTGGGAAGGCAAAGGCAGAGGAACCCTGGGTTGAAGAGCACAACTCGATAGCTTTGCTTGGCCCCTGACACTTTGGCCTGTCCTCTGTTCCCTACTTGGAATCTTGCCAAGTGAGTATGGCAGTGAGAGCTCTCCTGGGAATGTGTTCAAAGGAGCAGGAAAGATGCCAAAGGAGAAAGCAAAGTGGCAGGAAAAGACACAGGGAGGAGAGGAAAATACATAAGCACCAAGTTTTTAAGTAAAACAGAGAAATGCATATTCAGGATCTTGCTTTTCCTCTTTTCTGCTCCTATATGCTCCTGACCTGAGAGCTGCGTGCCAGCGAGGTCCCAGGGCTGCTCCTGCCTGTGGCACAGCTCCAGCTTTGAAACTGCTCAAGTGCATGTGCCTCACACACATCACTGGGCTGGGGCTGAGCTTAGGGTGGGCTCCAGCAGCTGTTTTCCTGCTCCTGCAGGCCTTCCCAGCATGCAGGTGCTGGAGCTGGGGCTGGGGCTGGGATACTCAGGGCTGCTGTGCTCATTTGTCACTAGAGGACACAGCAGCTTGGATCCTTTGGGATTTGCTATCCTTGCCCTGGCTGTTTGTTGACTGAGGCTCTTAACTCTTTCACAGTCAACCTCTGGTCTCTTCCTTTACTTCAAAAAAAATAATCTTTGAGGGAGAAGAATATAGCTAGTACAAAAATCATCAGTGTGGTGCAGCAGGGGGGCTGTGTAATGAGCTTCACCTTCCCCATCACCAGCTCTGGAGAAATAAATGGAATGAGGGAGGTGGTGAAGGAGTTGTGGGGCTACATAGGGCAAAGAAATGTGTGCAAGACCAGGGATTGTGGACATCAGCCTCCCCCCCATATCACTGGTGCCAGTTCCTACAGCGAGTCTGTGTCTGCGACCACAGAAGTGATGTGAGTGCAGCACTCTTCTGTGTCCACACAACCTGAGGATGGGAGGTAGGCAGAAGATGGGAAATTTTGTTATCCCTGAGCTTTCAATTTATATTTCTGGGAGCTAGAAATCAAAATGGTCAAAGAGAGCTTGTGAGTGTTCAGAGAAAAGCTGCAATAATTAGGGAGACTCAAAGATCTCAGTGGCCTTGGCTTTATTAAAAATAAAGGAGTGATTTAGTGGTGAGAAGGGGGCATCTGATCATATAACTTTTTCCAATCTAATAAGTAAACATCCAAAGTCTGGAATTTGACAGTGGGGTAATTCAGACCAGAAAGAAGGTGAATGTTTTTAATGGCTGAGGAAAATTAAGTTTGTGAGCTTCTGACCCAGTGCTGTGGTTGATTGTCACTGAAAATATTAAAATCAGTCTTGGGTGCTTCTCTAAAATGTAGCTCCAGTCCAACTATTTGATTTGAAACTGGAATTAAATTTAGGGAAATTTTGTGACAGTTTTAAAAAATAGAGTTTGGGGGGAGGGAAATCCATGAGCATTTTTGTTTTCATTGAACATTCCCTGTGGAAGGTGCTACAGGGGTTTTCCAGACCCTCGGGTGATGTCTTGCAGACCCCCAAGGGCTGCTGCCCGTGCTGGCCCTGGCTTGTCCCTCTGCCCAAAGTGACCCTGTCTGTGTCACTGCTGCCCAGGCCTTTGAGTGAGCACCTTCACTGCCTCTGTGAAAGGCAGCAGGTCTGCCAGAGCCCTGCTGGGCTATTGCTGAGAAAAGCAGTGATCTTATGAGTAATTTAAACCTTATAGGTGTGTGCCCATCCCCTTTGCTGTTCATCAGAAGGGTGGTATAATTTCCTCAGATAATTTAGGATAGCTGTCCATAAGCATGGAAATTATTTTATTTTGAAGTGATGGTTCCAGTTTTTCACCGACATTTTGCACACAGCAGCTTTCTGGATTATTTAGGCCTAATAAATTAAATTTCTACTGTATAGTAAAATATGATTTAGCTGCAAACTTGAAAGATCAGAAAAGAAGGTGACATGAGGAAAAAAAAAACAAAACACCCTTGGCATACCACTTTGGGTCACCCTGACTGTGTTTGCATAGCATCTTGTTGCAGTACTAACATTTAAAAGTAATTGATGACATGCACCAATGCTAAAGTAGCAGAGTTTAAATGGGCTTTCAAACTGAAAACTGGAGGCACTCGCAGCTTTTTAGCATTGCTGTTTTGTGTGAAGCAGTACAAGTGTGCAGTGAGTTATCATTTGGGCAAGAAGCAGCTCTGCTGGGAACTGCATTGCCAGCAGCCCTGCCTGTGCCAGGCTCCAAAGCGGCTCCTGCAGTGGTCCCATGGAAGGCAGGGGAGGGGGAGTGAGGTGTTCCCCGGAGCAGGGGATGCAGCACACAGGCTCCTGCCGTGCGCGGCTGCCCCGGGAAGGGCGCTGGGAAATCCCTCCCGGCTCCGCTGCGCGGTGCTCACCGCCCTTCTCTCTGCTTTCAGCCTGCGAAGATGGGTATAAGCTGGAAAACGAGACCTGTGTGAGGTATGTTCTGCCCTCCTCCTACCCCACCGTCCTTGCTCTGTTGGCACCACCGAGCTGCTGAATCTCCCCGTTGTTCTCTCTTCACAGCTGCCCCTTTGGCTTGGGTGGATTCAACTGTGGAAACCGTGAGTACCAAATTTCATTCCTTTTATTTTCTACACTGTCAGAAATAGGAGATTTGAAACTAGCAATTGCAAGTGACTGTGTCTAAAATGCAGTAGGTACACACTACTTTTTAGTGCTTTTTTTATTTTTTCTTCATTCTAAGTTGAAAGTAATTTTGTGGACCTTCTTTGACAAAGCTGACTTAATGTTATCTCCTAAGGAAAGGAGATCTCCTTTCCTTGTGTAGTCTGTCAGGATAGCACATAAAGTGGGCACTCTTGAGGCAAGAATTTGAAGGTTAATCCATCTGAGTTACTCTGATCTATGAGTGAAGGGAAGCTATTCCTTAGGGAAACAAGAGCTTGCTTCTATTTCACTTGAAAACTTAAGGCTATATTGCTTACGGGGTGGGGAGGGGGCAAGGTGGGAAATAAACAGCTAATCCCTTTGCATGGGGACTGTGGATTTGTTTAGGGTTTAAAAGCACACTGCTGTTTCTCAGCCTCTGTCTCTCCCGTCTGCAGCGTACCAGCTCATCACGGTGGTGATTGCAGCTGCAGGAGGGGGACTGCTGCTGCTCATGGGCATTGCACTGATTGTCACCTGCTGCCGGTAGGTACCGCTGCCAGCCCTCTGAAGGACTAAAACATAGGTGAAAACATAAGCAAGTGGGTTTATCAGAGATGCTGAAGTATCACATTGTGCTTTCATTTGGAGAATTTTTAATTTTCTGTTTTCCCCAGCAGCCATGCTAAACAATGGACTGGGTATCTCTAAAAGGTACATCAGAAAATCATGTCCTCCAAGGATGGAGAGGCAGGGGAGTCCTTCTCATGCAGAGCTGTAAGGCTCTGAGGCCAGGAAGAAGACTCCAAAAGTGCAAGCTAAGTAGAAAGGATCAGTTTAGGCAACAGGAGAGGTTACTTGCCTTTGCTCAAGTGGTGTTTGAGTATATTTAAGGCTATTTTCATTTGCCATTATGGACAACTCCTGCATGTGCTCTCACTCTGTGTGTCTCTCCCTCTCACACACTCACACTCACACACACCTTGTTCCCATACCAGCAGGTGGCTTTGGACAGGATGTGCTTACCTAGGAAGCTCTTTTTGAGATTTATATAATCTGAAAAGGGATACCTTGAAGTAACACCCTCTCTCCACCATTCCAGTCCCCAAATCTAGGATTTCAAGCTCTGTGATGAATGCAGTTGAATACTGGCAGCTGGATTTGTCAGTAAGATAGGCATGGCAGTGGTTTGGTTGGCACAGTGGTGAGCTCCTGTAATCCCATCATTTGAGCCAGGGGGATGCCAGCAAACCCCAGCCAGGAGATGAGGTGGCCCTGAGTGCAGATCTCCAGAGGGATGGACTGATCTTCTCATGAGTCCTGGCCTCTGGCAGTTTATGACTTCCTGAAGGATACTCTGCTTTGAGCTGAAGTGTCAACTGAAGTCCTCTCATACAGCATTGTAGTCCTGGAGGGACGTTTGGTGTCACTCAGGCCAGTTCCTTGCAGGTCTTCCTTCTTAGGAATCAACATAGGGCCTACAAGTGCACAGTTAATAGCATGGGAGCTCCTATACTTTTTTCCTCAATTTTCAAATTTTTTTCATTGACCTAGGTGAACACACATGTTTTTAAAAGGCAAGAGCCATGTCTGGAACAAGCTGGAGCAGGAGGGGTTCAAACTGAATATAGGAAACAATTCTTTCACCGAGGGAACAGTAAGGTTGTGGAACAGGTTGCTTAGGGAGGTTTCCATGTAACTTCGGAGATTTCAAATCTCACCAGATAATGCCCTGAGTTGCATGATTTCATATCTGACTTGGCTTCAGAGCAGATGATTGGACTATAGTCCATCTGAGGTGGTCTTTGTTCCCAGCCAAGATTCGTAGCATCAATGATCTCTCCTGAGATCATGTCAGAAGTGTATACACAATAGCAGGATAAGTTGTAAGTTTTCACTTTCCCTCATTCTTTTATAAACAGGAAGAATAAGAATGACATAAGTAAACTGATTTTCAAGAGTGGGGATTTCCAGATGTCACCTTATGCTGAATATCCGAAGAATCCCCGGGCACAGGAGTGGGGCAGAGAGACCATCGAGATGCAGGAGAATGGAAGCACCAAGAACCTGTTGCAGATGACAGATGTGTATTATTCGGTATCTATCCATAGCTTAACTTTTAACCCTTTGTGCCCCATACAGTGAAGAGATATTCCTTTATTTTTGGAAGTGCAGATCCCTTTCCTGCAAGGTAGAAGGGCAAAGCAAATGTCTTTCATAGGCAGCAAGGCATCAGGAGTCCTATGGGCTCTAGCTACTACCTGTGGCGAATATCACAAAGAGATGTCATTAGGAAGAATGCTTAGACAATGCCTAGGAATATTTTGGTAAAAATGCATCAAAATCCCAATTCTAGAGTAGAGAAGGACAGTTAAAGGTTTTGGATAAACTGCTAAGGTTCCCTGTTAGCAGTTTTCTCTTGTCCACCCTCGCTGATGAAGTAGAAGGTTGAAACCTCTGTCTGGGAAACTTTGCCCCAAAATAGGAAGATGCTGGTTGCTGAGGACCCCTCTTTTCCACCATTCCTTCCTTCTCCTGGGTAGATAAGGAGCATCCCTTCAGCTCTGAGGGAATAAGGAGTAATAGGCTGTGTAGGGCACAGAGACACAAGCACAAGATGTTATGTCGTGGCTGGTACCATCTGCTAATGTCTGTACCCAGAGCTGTGGTGCTGCTGTACCATCTGTCACTCATTTTCAGCAATGTACTTAAGGTGTGTGTGGGTTATTCATGAGAGTGAAGGTCACAGGATTTCACCCAAATCACACATTCTGGACTCCTTGCTGTCCAGAGCAGAGAGCAGGGAGCATTACTATTTTCCTGGCTTGTATTTTAAGTTTTTCAGTAAGCAAATTGACTGGGTTGCGCAGCATGGAGTCAAATAATCCTCTTTCATGCTTCTACTAAGAATGAGATATTTGAAAATGCATTTCCTAGATTTTTTTTAAAGACCTTCATTATGCTGGGAACTAGAAAGGGAAACTTTTTAACAAGCAGTAGCTGATGAGGGCTTTACATGAATCTGCTCTCTAACAGATTAAACCAAGGGGCTTCATGTTATTCACTGGGTGAAACAACTATACAGTCTTGATCTTAGACATCAGTGTTCCTCCACCAAGTGTCCCCAGGAGATTTATTTAGTTACAAGAAGGGAAGAGAAAGGAAGGCCAGATCATTTTGTATTTGATGTGTAATTCAAGGGCCTGTGTTGGGAGAGGAGGAACCTATGGTAAATGGGGAGAGAAGTGCCCAGGTAATATTCAAAGCAGGAGACTAATTTTGATTTTTCTAGAGCTGTTTCCTTTAAGGATGGCTCTGGGACGATGTTGTTTAAATTAAATATTGACTGTGTACTTAGACTGCACTTGGCAGAGTCGGGTAAACTTCAAGTCTGTTCATTGGCCAGATGTTGAAATTAGATTTCATCATAATGATCCCTTCAGGCAATACAGCAAAAATTGTTCTAGATTACAGAGATCATTTGAGATCACATTGTTCCCTCTAGCTACTGAACCAACAGCAAAGAGATGTGGTAAGGCTGTGCCTGAGGGAGGATTGAAGTGTGAGAATAAGACCCTTTTTATTTAATTTATTTATTATTTTTTTGCTAATACAGCCAACTGGACTGAGAAATCCTGAACTGGAAAGAAATGGACTTTATCCTCCCTACACTGGTTTGCCTGGATCTCGACATTCATGCATCTACCCTGGACAATACAATCCGTCCTTCATTAGTGATGAAACCAGAAGAAGAGACTATTTTTAACAGAGAGTGGAGAGGGAATGGAAGATTGACACAGTTGTGTGGCCCTTAATCCCCAGGTAAAGCTGTCTCCTGGGTAGTTCAGGCCACATCAATCTTACTCTTCCCATTTAATAGGAAGGACTTTGAACTTCATGCTGAGCATTGCTGCCCTGAGGGACGGTCACAGTTGCTGAGCATCAGAGAGGAGGAGGAGGAAGAGGAGGGAATGGCTGAAGAAGCACACCACTAAAAGACCCAGAGGGAAGCTAACACATGTACTCCTTATTCGTTCTTCACTCTTCGCGCTACGTGGGCAAGCACAGATCAGTACAGGCAGATGAACTGTGCCCAGCACTCTGCATTGAATACCACTAGGGAGTGTCTTGTTTACAGATCTTGTTCACTGTTGACTGTGCTTGTCTTCCTCGCCAGCCTTCATGCAAAGATTCACTGTGCAGCTGCTTTTGGTTGGGCAAGTTTGTCCACTCCCTTTTAGACCACGACATGTGCTTTGTGCACGACAGGGAAGCTGGCTTGTCTTCTGGCCCTCACCTTCTTACTGCTAAAAGTTCTCCAGATTCCTGGGTCATTGTCAAAGCCCAGTGTCTGGCAATATTGGCTGAATTCGTGGGTTGATGGTCTCCAAGGAGTGCAGGAAGGTTAGTCACACCACTGCAATTTTAACAGAAAAAAGGCACAGTTGCTCCTCTGTGCTGCTTTGAAAACCTTCTGTATATAAGGAATGTTGTTGTTTTGTCAACCAATGTTGTTCAGAAGCGATGCCACTACACACCATCATGGTGCTTCCATATGAGATCCTTTGGAGCTCTTTTTCCCTGCAAGAATTCAAATGCCTGTAGACGCAGCAATACTATATTAAATAATTACTCACAGGGAAGAAGATGAGCTGTGAATTCAGAATTCTGTGAAGGAATCTGTGAAGGAGTAATAATTCTGTTGCCTTGGCAGGGCAGAGGAACTTAAATGTTTTCAAACCTCCACAGTCCACCTTGAATTTGTAGGAGCTGTGGAGGCTTTCAGTGCATTGGAAATGAGGGCTTACTGCAGTCAGTTGCATTTAAGGAAGAGAAAAACATGATGCTTGCAATCCTAACATAGCAGAGATCACTTATGTTGAAGTGTTTTTCTTTCTTCCGTCCTAGTTTCGAGTGATTCAGACCAGGCAAGTTTCCTCACCCAGGTGTGTTCGTTCATATTAGCAGAAAGTGAAGAATGTAAGTTATTGCATTTCTCACCAAAGATCAGATTGAACCTCATGGGCTGTATTCTCACCTAAAGCGAGTGTTGAAAGAGATCTTACTAATCACAGAGCCCTGTTGGGGTTGGCTTGAAAGGGATCTCACAGATCATCTTCTTCCAACTCCTCTGCCATAAGCACGGACACTTCCACTAGACCTGGTTGCTCAAAGCCCCATCCAGCCTGGCTTTGAACACTTGCAGGATGGGGTAACTTCCCTAGGCACCCTGTTTCACCACTCTTGTCATGGAGAATTTTTTTCTTATAACTAATCTAAATCTACCTTCTTTGCTTTAAAATCATTTCCCCTTGTCCTATCCCTACATGCCCGTGTGAAAAGTCCCTCTCCAGCTTTCTTGTAGGCCTCCTTTAGTTACTGGAAGGTGCAATAAGGTCTCTCTGGAACCTACTCCTCTCCAGGCTGAACAGATGAACTTTCTCAGACTGTCTTCATAGGAGAGGTGCTCCAGCCTCTGACCACCTTTGTGGCCTCCTCTGGTCTCTTTTCTTCTTATGGAACCCTGAACACAGCACTGCAGGTGGGGTCTCAGGAGAGCAGAGGGAGAGAATCCTGTCCCCATGCTGCTTCTGGTGCTGCCCCAGGACACAATTGGCTTTCTGGGCTCTGAGAGCACATTGATGGGTCATGTTGAGCTTCTCATCAACCAACACCCCAAGTCCTCAAGGGCTAGTTTCTATTCTCCAGCAGCCTACATTTGTGCTTGGGATTTCCCCGACTTACATGCAGGCAATATAATTAAATATAATGAGGTATATTTATCACTTTACTGCACTATTAATCTGAGTCATCAAATCCTGTTTAGATACAAGGTCTAGATGCAGTTTCTCCTCTTGAATGTGTATGGGCTTTTAAATCCAGATGGCTGCTTGTATGAGGCTAACAAATAGCACAGTTCCTTAGTCACTGACCCACCATACCTGTAGTGTGTACATAGGCTGATATTGCCTTCTCTCCCACCGTGCTTTATAAGAAACAGTACCTACAAGTAAGTTCAGTAGGTAGCTCAGCTCACTGAAGCACTGAGGATCAGGGGGTACATCCCCCAAAGTGCCTAACCCCAAGGAAGGGCAGCAGTTTGGATCTTCGTGTGTTGTGTGGCTGCTCACTGGAGGCAAACCTGGGGGATGAGGAACTCTCCATCAGGGAGCAGGTACTTAGATCCTGCAGGTGGTGTGAATTCCCAGATCCTTTCCCAGTGCTTCAAAGCCTGTTGTGTTCCCTATCAAAGGTCAGTAACATGTATCCAGAGGGAAATGAAATAACAACAGGCAATTATTAGCTGTGTTGGCTTAGAGGTTTCTGGTGCCTGCTCAGAGTTGCTCCTATTGTCTTAAAACTTCAAGACAGGAAAGGTGCCACAGATGTGCTTAGAAGGCACAGCTCTGTTCACCAGCCATAGCACACAAAAACAGAGTCTTTTTTATGCTTCAGGTCTTGTCTGCTGTGTAGAAGCAGCAGTGTGAACTTGAAGAAGAGCAGAGCTTCATGGATGCCCAGGGCAGTATCCTTGGCACTTGTATGAACTTTTGGTGACAATATATGCAACTTTATGCCTGTCTGATCCATAATCAGCCTTGCAGCTGGTAGTACACAGCTGATCTCAGCTGTGGGGGGAAAGGAATGGATGCTTATGGGAGTTACAGCTGCCTAAGGAACTGTATTTAAGGAAAGCTCTACTTACAGTGTCCAAGATATTATAACAGGTAATGCACAGGAATTAGCTGCTCCCTGCCATGCTGATCAGAGTTTTTATCCAGGACAGAAAGGACTGCCTTTCCCCTGGTATGGAGTAGAGTTTTGTCTTTGTTACAAAATAAAAGAGGAAGATCCAATTTGTTCTTACTCTAAATCCAAAGCAAATAGACAAGCACTGGAGTTTGTCCCTTTTTAGTAAAGCAGATTTAGTGATAAAGCTAAAGTGATAAGGAGATGTCCCAGCAATGATGAGAATCCCGTGATTTAACCATGTGCCAGCATTTCCTCAGATGGGGAAGCATTTAGGCCCACTCTTATCAGCAAAGATGTTTAATTGCTTGGTTGGTTCAAAGGCTAGGAGATTAACTTCTATGTATCAAGTACAAAGTATGACATACCAACTCACAGTTGAAGATCAGTTATTTTTCACAAAGAGTAGGTGAACAAAACTTCTGGTCTGTATCTCCCAGCACTTTGCAAATTCTAGGTTATTTGAATGGAATTGAGATAGGACTATTTATAATGAGAGCACACAAGAGTTGGCAAGCAATTAGTTTTAATATCTTAATGGTCATCAAATTCTTCTTAAATTGTATCTGGAGAGAAAGAGTCTCAGTAAATCCAGCAGGACTTTCTGAGTGAGGACTGCAAAGCTTGTAATTTTCTGAAACAGGGTGTTTTTGCACTGAAATTTTCTCTCTGCCAATGGAGGTAAACATTGGGGCATTTCTTATGAGGATTTATCCATCACAGCCTGACCTTCTATTTAGCTTGGGTAAAAAAAGTCAGAGACTCCAATGTATAGTCCACAGGAGGAGGAGGAAAAGGGTCTCTCCTGACCTGACAAAACTTCTCTGGGTGTCCTAGGAGGACCTGCCCAGCAGGCAAGAGAGGAGTTTAGGCAGGAGGAGTCAGCAGCCAGATGAGTGCAGGTGCTTTCCCCTGCAGTGTTCCAGGAAGCCTTTCTGGAGGTGACAGAGGCAGCCTGGTGTGACTCAGGCCCTGGGTCTCCACCAGCCCAGCTGCAAGCTGTGCTGCAAGCTGTGCTGCAAGCTGTGCTGCAAGCTGTGCTGCAACCTGTGCTGCAACCTGTGCTGCAACCTGTGCTGCAGTGCTGCTGTCTGCAGCCAGGCACCACCCGCTCCCAGGGACAGAAGGGGTGGGTGCAGTGCCCTGTGTTATGTCACAGTTTCTGAGGGTTATTTTGCTGCAAGTGTTCCCTGCCTCACCCCAGCAGTGCAGACTCACCCGGCCACAGAAGGGATGTGGCCTGTTCCACTGCAGGTTGTCTCTGTGTAAAGCTGCCAGCAGGATCCTCTCTGTGTCTGCCATAAACAAAGCACCCTTTGGCAGAGGAGTGGGGCTTGTTACTCCTCTGGGGTATAAAGAAGGGTCTCTATGTGCCCTCAAGCCCACTTTCAAAATCTGATGATTCTCTGTTCACAACCTAACTCCCCATAGGGTGTCTAAGTGCATGCAAATTATTTCTCATCTCTCCTTTAGATTACTTTTAGCTACCCCAAATTGAAAATTTTGAGCACACTGGATGTTTTCACCAAGGGGAATCAGTCTCCACTATCCAAGAGGATAAGAGGGAAGTGGCATGTTTTTGATATGGAGAATGCAAGTAGTTCAGCCAGATGTGGGGAAAGGAAGAAAATCTGCACCAGCACTGCTCAGTAATCTGCTATTGCTTCTAGCTGCTGTGGAAAGTGAGGGGAGCAGTCAGGAAGGACCCATGGGAAATTGTGTGGATGTATTTTTAATTACATTTGGAAAAAGAAAAGCTACTTCTTTTGATTGTCAGGAAAAGTTGTGAGAGGCACGTGTTTGATGCTATGGTGCTCTGCCAGTTATACTGACAAACCCACAAAGAAAGCCCTGACAGTCAGCACAGGAGAAGCAGTTCCATGAACTGATCAGCAAACACTGATTTGAGGAATCTTTCAAAAGGCATCTTGAACACAGAGTCTTCCTGTGCCCTGCTGTTTGCCCTGGCCAGTCCTTCCAGCTGCACTGGGAAAATCAGGGCCATTTTTCATACTGTTGAACCCTCACAAGCAGCTTCATGCACTCATAGCACTGAACTGGACTATAAGTGGAAAAAGTAGGCCGGGTTGATGCCCTTTTCCTCCACCTCGGAAGCGTTGGGTTTTATAGCAGCGATAAATCTCATTGCTCCTGCGACATTTCCCGTAAGATCCACTGGCACAGTCACATACTCAGTTACCACTCATGAGCAGCCTTATGAAGGGCTTCAGGGCAGTAAAAGGCTTTAAAAATAGCAATAAATTGCAGTTAGAGAGAGGGTTTCATAATTTATCATTGTGGAATTGTTTCTGCCAATACCTGTACAGGTTGTTTGCTGGGACCTGAGTGAGCACAGAGTGGGTTTGGACACTGCTGCAGATAAGCCAAGTTGCTTTCCTGGGACTTGTCTCTGATGCTGGTCAATGGCCATATCCATTCCAAATCCAGCTGGAATTTTCATTCCCTAATAGTAAGCTTTAGCTTTTTTCCTTAAATTAACTAGAACGGATGCATTTTAGTTAAATGCTCTTCCTATGCTGACTAATGTTTTTTCCTTTTTACACACAAAGGATGTAATCCAGCATCCATTTCAGTGACTGGGGTAACTCTCCCATAGACTGTAAAGAAGTTTTTTTTAGGGCTGAATTATTCCACCACCAGGGTCATCTGTGTGTAGTACATACTTTCCCATGGCTCTGTGTGCCTGTTTCTGTGACACTGTTCCTGCATTTCCTTGTTGTGTCTATTTTTTTAAAAGCATAATTATGACTGCAGCAGGACCTGTGTTATGTGAGAATGAACAAAACAGTTTCAAGATATGAAACAGCTTCCTGGGAAGAGAATGGATGTGAATTTTGTGTAGTTGTTTTACTGCTCAGACAGCCTAATTCCCATCATGTAGTATCTTGGGATGTAGAGATGCTTCCTGCTGTCACTCATGTCAACTGCTCTGCAGATCACTCTTACCTTTCCCTTTAGAAATTAAGCAAGGTCTCCTAGTTTCAGAATGAGTATGTCCTCTATGCTTGTAAGAGTTTGGGGCCTTTTCAATGTACATTTAATTCTTCATTCTGTTGAACTGCTGAAATTGAAAATCGGGAGAGAAATTCATGAAGGAGTAAGCACTACCAAAATTTTTAAAAAAAGATAAAAAAAAGCTTACTTATTTTGCAGAATTGGTGTCAGTACTGTGAGGTCATGTGTGGGATGACAACTCTTCCAGTCTGTGTATAGTCTGTGTTGCGTAAATTCCTTGTGAGGGAACACCTAGAGAGGGCACCTGATGTTCCTCCAAAGTGGTATTTAAATGCTAAATCACTCAGTCTCTCTTTCAATGAAATACTAGAAGGGGTGGGAGTCTTACTTGGGTTAATGACTGCAGCAGGCAGCCCCCAGGTCTGCAAAATCTTGGATGGAAAGTCCTGTGGAATACAATAAACACTGATCACTTCTCTTGAATATGGCTATAGAATTCACTGGATGTAAAAATCATCAATAAAATCTTCTAGAATGGGTTTACTTTAAAGAAAAAAAAACCCAACAGGATAAATAATTACTACCTTCCTTTTTTCAAAGGAAATTCTGTTAAACTCAGTCATTTGCTTTTAAACCCATTAAATTCTGCAGGACTTTCTCCTAGTGGAAGGTGAAACTTGATATATAAAATCATAATGATTTATTTGAGCAGCTTTTAGAATTGCAGTAGTAAAGCTCACATTTTGTGACCTCTCTTTCAAAAGATAAATTTTTAGCGTTTGTTTGTGCTTCTTTACAACCTGAATGTAAACCTGCTTTATGTTCTTAACATTGCTCCACTTCCTTCCCTCTCTCTCTGAATGTTTGCTTCCAAGTCTCTGGGGTTCTGAGGATGTTTTCCAAACCAGTATTATTTAAAGTTGTATCATATTTTCAGCCTCCACTAATTATACAGTACTGTAGTAGCAAAATATAATTTTTAAGGATTGGATTATTTTTATACCTGCATCCAATATTATTAAATCTGGCGTTCTAGTCAGTATCATAAAAGGATACAATAAAACAATGAGTATTACTAAGTCCCTGCCTTTTTTTATTGTCTTTAGTTTTGCCTGTAAAGGGAAACATATGCAATTTTTAGATGGTTTTAATTATTATTCTACATCTAATCCAGAAAATAAGAAATTGCATAGAAAAGAAACTGCTTTTGTTCTTCTGATGGTGCTTCCAGACTGAATAACCAAATTGAAAAGCAAAGAGGAAATGGGTATGTTCTGTTAGTTGTGCCAAACAAAATTCTGCTCAGCTGAAATACAAGTTGTGTTCTGATACATTTATCTTGGTGGCACCAAGCCACTCAGTCTAATTTCAATTTTTCCTCAGTTTGTTTTTTGCTGGACCTGGTGAAGTTGTGTGTTTATGTGTGTGAGTGCATGTTGGAGGGGAGGAAAGCCTCAGGGGGCAGCAGGGCTCTTTGCAAGGGCGACGGGCTGGACCTGAGCACCATGAGATCAGTCCTGTCCCAGCAACAAGCACCAGGGACAGTGAAGAACAGCCAGATGAGTGTCCCTCAAAGGAAGGAGGAGGGCACCTTGAATCCAGGTGAGCACCAAGTCCAGCTCAGGCTGCTGAGAAGAGGCATGATGTGGAAGAGCATCTGGAGCAATGCTGGTAGGTTCGTTGGGGCAATTTTTTCCTGTGTTGCTCCAGAGCAGTACAGCTGTGACAGCAATCAGATGGGACTAAGGTGAGATTGATCTGTTCTATGAAAAGTTAGGTGGCCAGTTTGAACACACCATGTGGCTCCCCCAGTAGCCATGAAAAGAGACACACATCCACAAAGAGCGGCTCACCCCATGGTAAGAGATCACTCACAACTATTTCATGCCATTCTATTTCTGTGTGATGTTGGTATATTTTAGGAAACCAAGTGTGAAAACATGGGTCACAACATTTCTGTGGGACTAAGTTAAGGATCTTTGGGGTTATAGACAAGCACATGATTTATCAGCTCTGCCCACTCAAGATTTGCATGCCAGTGCCTCTGAGATCACTGCATGCATCCATAGTGTGTGCCCTCAAACTCTTGGGAACCACCTGAAAAGAAGTTAGAGCATTTGCTTCCCCTGATTATTTTTGAATCTGTATCCATAGCCAAATCTTTAGTTTAGATTTCTGAAGCTTTTTTAACTTTTAGCAATTAAAACATATATTTCTACTTATGTATGTCACGTGTAGTGGAGGAAGCAAATTTACATGAGATAGCAAAATGTATAGGAATCTAGTAAAGAAAAGGATTTAAAAATGTGCAGGAAAAAAGTACTGAGCTGTAAAAGATTATTTTTCCTACTTTATATCCTCTGACAGCATGATTGCCTCTTGATTACATGCATTTTCTAATAGATAGATGAGGCCCTTTATCTTTGGTATTTCTTTTTCCTACCATAAACAAGTATTGACAATAGAGCAGCTACTGTTACTAAACATAGTATATTCTTCATTCCATAATAATTGTTCAGTGTTCCTGATTGTCATATCTGAGTTTTGACATACAACAGTTTGATTTTACAATCTCTGGAAAGTTACTGAGTTATTTCTGCAAAGGAACTTTTCTCTGTAGTTCCTTGCAGGACATCACAACTCATGTGGCTGTGTGAGTCTGTCTGGACTAACAGTCAATTTTTTTTATTATCTGAATGTGTGCTTAATGACTTAATTAGGAAATGCAGCAGAGCTGCTATTTCATTGGTATCAGTTCTCCTATTTCATTAATTCTCTTTGTCTGCTCTCCTAAACCACCATATCTCTATTACTAATTCCCCCACAAATCACCAAGCAATGGGGCACATAGGGCCTGTCACCCTCCTCCTGAAGAGAGCCTGCTGTGACCATTGGTGTGTCACAAAATGGGCAGGGAAGGGTAAGCAGAGATGAAAACTTCTAGTACGTGAATATGTATTATTTCCTGGAGGACCTGGGGCCTTTTGCATTGCAAATGACTCACACTGCCAAAACTGTGATTGTAATAAACACAACCAGTAGGTAGGAGTGGAAGTAAAGTTAAAAAATGTATGTAGTACAGCAGCTCCTGCTGTGCATTCACTGTAGAGAACAGTTCTAATGTGCAGGACTGCACACTCAACCAGTAGTCTCTATTGCAGGCAGAAAAACTGCACCAGTTACATCTGCTAAAGACCTGGCCCTCGTTTTCAATAGTGCCCTGGGAAGTTCTTTTGGAACTTCACAGACAACTGAGAGATTTTAAGACCTGTATTAATCCAGCTGTGCCTTGAGGCAGTGTTGGAAATTTGGAGTGTATCATGAAGACTGAAGAGTGTAGGTCTGGGAGATGGACATTGCCAGAGGATGGGTGACATCCAGCTCTGCCACTCTCCAACAGCCAGGTTTGTTTTCTGCACACCCATTCCCACCTGAAGCACCTGCTGGGGTCTGGGGCTCACAGCACTGAAATATGTTATTCTAACAAGGCTTCAGGATTAGTTTTTGGACATCCCCTGAAGCTGGGAAGGTCCTGGTAGCCTGAGGAGGAGGCTGGACACTGGCCAAGCAGGTAGGCACAGGGCACTGGGGACAAACCTTTCCCAGGCATTTCCTTCTCTCATTCTGTCAGCTTCCTGGCAAAGCAGTTTTAAGGAGGGGCCTGGAAGAACCAAGTGATCTGTTACGGGCAATGGGCATGGGAGGGAGCAGCAGCAGGGCAAGATCTGAATCCACCATAGCCTGAGGGAGCAGACAGAGGGAAAGGGGGGCTGCCTGGGGGTCACTGCGGGGACTAGGGGTAGGTGTGGGAAGCAGGATGCACTGGAAGGACTTAAGGGACAGAGATATGAAAGAAGGCACGGGCAAAACCCCCACATTTCAGGCTCAGCATCCTGAGCAGGTTCCCAGAGGGATAAGGCCACTCATTCCTTGTGCCAGCAGAGAGGAACACAACCATTTTTGCTATTTGTAACCAGCAGTGTTTCCTGGTTCAGTGCAATTTAACAGTTTAAGACAGCCCTAAGCTCAGGAATGACTTGAGTAAAGCTTCTGGTCTCTCTCACCCTCCTTCATTCAAGGAGGTACACCCTTTCAATAGAGAGATTACCCAAGACTGCATTTCTTGTTCTTAAAACAGAAGATCAAACAAAAGCAGATGAAGGGAGAGGCATTCACCACACTGAGCTGTTACCTGGCATTCAGTAGAGTGTTCATAACCTGCCTGTGTTGCTGGCAGTGGGGTCTGCCAGAGGAGATCATCACCATAGCCATTAGAAGTGGCATTGCAGGGGGTACTCTGATGGGTTTTCATCCTTCTTGTGTTTGATAATGATGGTATAACCTGTGTTTACTTCGGAGAAAGACTTTACTAGCAGGATACAGAGTCACTCAGAGCTTCAAACTGAGAGAAGTTATACCTTTGCCTGAAAAGGAGGAACTGGATCACTGATCTGGCCCAGCTGATCTCAAGCAGTACATTTTACTGGAGCACAAAGCAGAATGAATGCTGGAGAACTTGGACAGGGGAGCCAGCTAAAAATAGGAGACTTTGGGATAACCAAATCCTGCCCGCAGAGACCATTTTTTCCCCATCTTGGTCTCTCACTGGCCATTTCAGAAGCTTCCTGGAATGCAGTGTTAAAAAGTCTCAGCCTCCAACCTATTTTCTCGGCATTGCAGCAGCATTACCTGCTTCATGGCTTTCTGGGCTTCTTGTCATTTCTAGATCTGCTGCAGACTTTGTGCTCCAGCCTGGCCATCCCTGGTTACAAATGTCATCCTGGCAGGAATACACTTCCTCTCAAGAGAGGGAAGCTGCCATTCAGATAAAGACAGGAGCATCTGCTGGCTGTCCTACCTGCTCCTTCCCTTGGCCCACCACTTTAGTGAGCCTGCAACACACATAGGAAGGCAGCAAACAAACAGCCATGATCACTGCCAGAAGGGCCAACATTCTTTGATGTCAAAGGTGCAGGTGTTTTCTGTTTCTTTTTAACCTGTAAAGCAGTAAGAAGTGCTTTAGCATGATTTTGCTTATAAGAAAAAAAAAAAAAAGGAGTTTGAGGAATTAAGCTTGTCTGTACTGGTAATTTATTGCAAGGGAAATGAGTGTGTGGATCCCAGGTACTCTTTTCCAAGTGCATAATTAGCATGCCTTGGGATGGGGTCACCTCTTCCACTTTAAGAATAGATTATATGGCACCCTTCATTTAATTTGCACAGAAGGTGTTGGTATGGAAAGCTGGCAGGGGATAGCTGGTGCACTGTCAGTTCCCATGTCAGCTTATTTAGCAGTAACTTCCTTGTGTCAATAGATCTCAAGTATTTATGACTTAAAGGAAGAACGCTGCAGGTCCAGAAATCTCCTCCCAGCCTGAGGAGGAAGAAAAACACTGCTTGAATTTATCATTTGCCACTTGCCACCATGACGTCAGCTCAGGGCTGAGCTCTCTACCTGTGGCTGGGACCTTAAATGAGCTGCTGCCAGAAGAGAAAGGCACTTTCTCTCAGGCTTAGCAGCAAGTGGCAGCAGCAACAGAAGTGGCAATGAGACGCTCTGTGCTCCTCGCTCTGTGGCTCGGCCTGGTGTTGAGCCTTTTGAAAGGTAAGAACCACTATCTTCTGTTTTGTGATTTATCAAGGCAGCTATTGTGTGGCAGTGAATGGATTTTCTAGTACTTTCAGCAGCTGTTGAGAAGCCAGTTGTGATACACAATTCTGCGTTTTGATTAATTAACGATGAAAGATGTCACTGCAAGCCAACGGCTTTCCTTGTTTGCAGAATAATGGAAAATCACTGGTGCTTATGATTAACCTAATTCAGCCTATTCCAAGAACAGTTTTCAGGACTTTCATATTAAGCCCAGGTAATTTAAGCTCTGTTACAGTCATAACAAAAGGTGCAACTGTTCCACCCCAGTACCCTTTTGGCCAGAGGCTCCTTAACCAGCCAGACTGGAAAGCAGCTCCCCCTGAGCCGGCTCACAGAGCTTTTGTTCCTTCCTGTTGAAATAAATTAATGGAAACATCACCACCAGCTTTCAAGAGGGTTGCATCATAGTCTGTTCAAACTAAAGGTGTCATTCCTTAAGCTGCTTAATAGATTTTCTGGCATTGTGCCAAAGTTGGCAGTTGTGGGCCAGAGCCTACAGCCAAACTTTCCTTTTCCGGATACTCTGGGAGGTATGAGGGGTTGAAGACATTAGCAGAAGTAAAGCATCTATATGAAGAGTTTTTTAGCAACTTTAAGCTGTGAGAAGACAGGAATTCCTAGCTAATACAAAGATAAAATTGCAGAGATATCAGCCAAATTAAGACCTGTTAAGCTTACAAGCGGTGGCAGACAGTTGTGGGTCTCTGTTGACTACTGTTAACAGATGTATTTCCAGCAACATCCACAGTGTGTTACAGACCAATTTTCAGCTGTAAATCATAAGCATAGAAGTTTTCAAGATTGTCAGTTGGTTGGTTTTCTGATTGGAGGCTTGTAGGTAACAACAAGATGTGAAAAATCTTGTGTCATTACTTACAGAAGGCAATATGCATTTTTCACTTGATCAGAGTTTGCATCAGGATATATTTGCCCAGAAACCTTTTCCATTCTAAGCAAACATTGTAAAAATGGATGTGTCCATATGAATAGTACTGGCAGATGCCCTGCCCTGCTCAGCAGCCAGATGTCTCTGCTATTGTACAACCTTGGTGGTAACATCCATTTCTTTATCACAGTGGTAGTGCCCAAGTCCATTAACACATGCTGTTTCCATACATAGAAGGTCAGATCTAGGCACACACAGCCATAAATTAGCCACGTTTGCTCAGGTTACCTCAGCCCATCCACAAGTTCAGTTGCAGCTCATGCACTCATTTGGCACCATGGATGCTGTTCCTGAGTCCAAAGGGTGCTCCTGGACAATGGTTACCCAGAGCCTCCCAGCTATAACAGCTGTAAAAAAGCACTAACTCTGTAACAGGTGGTTGTTCCAAGATCCATTGCCTGTATCCAGCAGAGATTCATATTATCACAGTTATAGGAAAAATATCCATTTATGCTAACTGGGGAACAAATAATGCTGTTTATAGAACTCAGTTTGACCAGTGGAGGCAGGAGACCTGGCAGGGAACTGGCAAAATCGCTGATGTTTCCCCTTCACCTAGAGGAGGCTAATGGATTACTTGTCTTTTGCATGTGCCTTTTCTATGTGAGATAGATTGACCATCAGAAAAAAAGTGTAGAAGGTTTTCCTCACTTTCGATTTTCAAAGCCCAATAAAGCTCTAGAAAAGTGGGGTCTATTTTTTGGATGTCTGTTGAGGTGTACAGGGTGTGATAGTGACATGGGTTTTAGCCACAAATACATTAGTCTTTCATCTGCATGCTTCTAATGCTTTAGATAGAGTTTTGATTGCAGCAGCATTTATTCTGTGTAAATAATTTTATTCCTAACTCATAAAGATTAATTAAAAATTAATAATATTTAATTAATCATTAACTAACTTAGATTAAAGTTAGATTACATTATTGAAACTAGCCGTTTTTCAGTATCACACATTTATCAACAAGGCTGGTTTATGACTTGTTCTTCTTACATCTAGGGAAAGCAAAAAAAAAACCAAAACAAACCCCTCAAACCTGAAGTCATTCTTTATATCAAGAGCTGAGAATGACACAGGTTAAATAGAGCAAAATTCAAAAACTTTAAAATAACTAAAATATTTTGGAATAGACAACAAAGACTGAAACCAAAGTGTGAGGAGCTATTTTCACCAATTGGCTGGTATCAGCCAGGTTTCCCCTCCTTTCAGAAATAATGATGACAGGGAAGGAACAAAAAGAGAAAAAAATAATGTATACTGTCATAAGTGCATAGCAATGTAGTCTAGGGAAAGAGGGTCTTATGATGATCTAGCAGAAGAAGGATTCCTGGCCCCTCAGCCCCACAGGGATCCACTGCACCTACCTGCTCAGCAGTTCTACACACACAGAATTCCTCAAGACTTTTTTGGCAGACAGTGCTAAGCAGTGCTGACATGTCTCTTCTCTTCCCTCCAGCAGAAGCCAGTACTGTAAATGGAACAACTCCTCACCCAAAAGAGCTGCCAACACCAAAAACTACAGGTAAGGAGAAAAGCTTTCAGCCTTCCCCTTCTGGGCACAGCTTGGAGCAACCAAGCCCCAGGGAGTGCTGCAGGTACCCAAGGAGGGAGCAGTTCCCCTCCTTGGGTATCTGAGCCCTGCAGGGAGCTGTTCCTGAGGCTGTTGGAGCAGGGCAGGGAGGGAGCTTGGGCACAGCCCAGCAGGGAAGAGATCAGGGCCATGGCTGGGGACCACAGAGCAAACCCTGCCTGTCATGTCCACTCCCAGCTTGATACTGGGGAGCCCCAACCAGGAGGGTCAAACTCCTGCTGGGATCATCCTGAGGAGGGACAGCCTCCTCCTCCCCTCAGCTCTTCCTCCATGGTGGGTTTGCTCAAGCACATCCCTCCTGCCAGCACCCCACTTCTCCATCATGAAGTGATGCACTGTCTGTTCCCAGCACTGGGAATGTCCACGTGCCTCTGACTTCCAGCAAATGATCCTGTGCCAAGGGCCTCAGTGGGGAAATACACGTGTGCAGGCTGTGCCCAGTCTGATACTGCTGCTGCTGATGTAGCAGAAGGATTCCTGGAACAGAAGTAGCCTGCTGTCAGTGTCCACAGGAATCTGTTACAGCACAGGAGTGTGTGTTAGCAAAGGAGACTTTCTTCCACTGCTCTGGAAGAGTTCAGATGGGGTTTGGAAGGATGCTCCAGCAGTGCTGAGTGCAGAGGCTGTGTGCTTGTGGATGGGATGCTCCAGAGGCTCCTGTGACTGCCAGGGCTGCAGGGAGAAATGTGTGGTGAGCCTACAAATCAGCATCAGCCACCTGGAGGAGAAAAGCAGGGAGGGCACAGACCTGCTGCTGGTCAGGAGGGGCCCAAGAGCAGGGTGTGAGAGAAGGGCTGGGAGAGAAAAATAACACCAAGGCACACGAGGCCTGGGGACAGACCAAAGGGGAGGTAACGCTGCCCAGAGCTGTGGCTGCTCAGCCACACACAAGTGCCCCCACACTTATCTGTACCTAAGTTGTCCTGCATGCAAAGACTTCCCTGGTGCTGCCCTCTCTCTTCTTCTCCCTCCATCAGAAACGGCTGCTTCTGCTAACACAACAGTGACACTGGTGACAGAAGCCACAGGAGCCCCTTCTGGGAACAGTCCCAGGGAGCTCTGCAGCCCCCACAGAGGTTTCCCCAAGTTCCTCTTGCAGGAGAGGCAAAGGTGCCCAGATCAAGGCTGTGAATGCCCTCCACAAGTTCCTCTTTCCCTGCTGGTCTTTGCTGCATGGAGAGGGCATTGGGGAAGGGTTGAGGAGGCTGCTCTTTTTGTGCTTGGTGCCTTTACCTCCTGCTTCAGGCCTGGATAGAAGGGGATCCCTGTAGAGATGCCCAGGGGAATCCTGTGACCAGATCCTGCAGGGAGCTGTGCCTCAGGCTGGTTGCTGCTGGGTGTGACAGCTTTGGCTGACACAGCTGTGGCCATAAAGCCCACTGAAGCTGGGGCCACAACACTGTGTGTGAGGTCCTTGTGTTCCAGTGCTGCCACTGGGGGACAAGGGGTCATGGGCACATCAGATGACACAGGTCTCTCAACCAGGGAGAGCCAAGAGGCTGGGCAAGGGTTCTCAGGGCTTTGGCCCCTCAGCCCCACAGGGATCCACTGCACCTACCTGCTCAGCAGTTCTTTGGGCAGACAGTGCTAAGCAGTGCTGACATGTCTCTTCTCTTCCCTCTAGCCAACGCCAGCACTGTAAATGGAACAACTCCTGGCTCAACGGTGATGCCAACCACAGAAACTAATGGTAAGGAGAAAAGCTTTCAGCCTTCCCCTTCTGGGCACAGCTTGGAGCAACCAAGCCCCAGGGAGTGCTGCAGATACCCAAGGAGGGAGCAGTTCCCCTGCCTGGGTTTCCCTGAGTTCTTCTCCCATGGGAGACAAAGTTAGCCAGACCATGACCTTGAATTAGTTCCATTCTTCCCTCTTTCCCTGCTGGTCCTTTCTGCAAGGGGAATGTGTGCTGGAATATTTGAGGAGGCTGCTGTTTTCATGCTTGGTGCCTTTGCCTCCTGTGCTGGGGGCTTACAAGAGGTTCCATGCCCAGAATGCCCAGGGCAAGCACATTACTGGGGCCTGCAGGGAGCTGTTCCTGAGGCTGTTGGAGCAGGGCAGGGAGGGAGCTTGGGCACAGCCCAGCAGGGAAGAGATCAGGGCCATGGCTGGGGACCACAGAGCAAACCCTGCCTGTCATGTCCACTCCCAGCTTGATACTGGGGAGCCCCAACCAGGAGGGTCAAACTCCTGCTGGGATCATCCTGAGGAGGGACAGCCTCCTCCTCCCCTCAGCTCTTCCTCCATGGTGGGTTTGCTCAAGCACATCCCTCCTGCCAGCACCCCACTTCTCCATCATGAAGTGATGTACTGTCTGTTCCCAGGGGTCTCAGGGCTTTGACCCCTTAGCCCCACAGGGATCCACTGCACCTACCTGCTCAGCAGTTCTATACACACAGAATTCCTCAAGGCTTTTTGGGCAGACAGTGCTAAGCAGTGCTGACATGTCTCTTCTCTTCCCTCTAGCCAACGCCAGCACTGTAAATGGAACAACTCCTGGCTCAACGGTGATGCCAACCACAGAAACTAATGGTAAGGGGCTAAAATGCTTTGGCAGTATTTTCCAGGGAGTGCTTGGAGTTACCAAGTCCCCGGGAGCTCTGTAGCTCCCTCAGACCAAAAGGAAGTCCTCAGAATGGGTTTCCCACGTTCCTCTTCCAGAAGAGTTAAAGCAGCCCTGATGGTTGCCATGAACACTCTCTATTCTTCCCCCTTTCCCTGATGGCCTTTGCTGCAAGGAGAATGTGTTGAGGAAGATTGGAGGCGGTTGCTGTCTTTGTTCTAGGTGCCTTGGCCTGTTTCAGCAGTCAGGGATACAAGAGGATCCCTGCAAAGAGGTGCCCAGGATAGCTCCTGACCTGGCCCTGCAGGGAGTTGTGCCTGAGGCTGTTGGAGCAGGGCAGAGAGGGAGCTGGGGCACACCCCAGCGTGGGGCTGGGGTCAGGAACCGTGTCTGGGGAACCTTGCATGTGTCCATCCCAGGAGCTCTCCAGATCCCACCATCTTCTATCCCAGTAGGGCCTTCCAGTGTAGGTAAAATGTACCCACTTAATGCTGGATCTCCCCTCCACTCTTCCCTGAGGGCCCTTAGTGCAAGTGGAATGTGTTTGGAGGAGTTCACAATTCTTGTTGCTTTCTGCTTGGGATCTTTTTCATTAGGAAAAAAATTTTGGCTTCACTAGGTTCACTGGAAAAAGTATTTGGAGATGAACCTTATAGGAAATGAAAATTCATTAGGTGTTTTACATTTTATTTTTTGGGGTATGAAGGAGAATTCCTCTTTATATTTTTTTCCCCCCATTTCACAGAAAATATCTCATCCATGAGAATGTACTTAGGAAGTGAAGTGTAAAAAACAAAGTTTGATGTATTGGACAAGAACTGTGATTACCATCCTATATATAAGATGTATAGAAATATAACTTCTAATTACTTATTAACCACTTAAATTATGCATAGATATAAAATACATACTCTAAAACCTTAGTGAATATATATAATTACTCTGAGAAAATATTCTATTGTGATTCCCTTTGGAGCCCTCATTTGATTAATGTGTCTGCAGTAAAGGACTGTGCTATGACACTGTCATAATAAGGCAAGTATGAACCAGTGCAGTATAAAAGAGACACTGGCTATTGTAGTCTTACTGTTTAGACTGTTTTCTAACAGTCACTGGTTTGTGCAAGCCTTGATATACTTTCTTTCTTTGATTTGGTTTTAGTTGTAGTAAGTAGAGTTGAACTGTGAATGCTCAATATGACAGATAATAAATTTCAGACATAACCCATGTCCTCACTGGGGTATCCTGCTGGGCTGTGTAGGGAAAACATATTACTATACATTACTATACAAGTATGTATATATATATATATATACACATATATAATATATATATATGTATATAATATATAATTATATAATATATAATTACTATATATTATTAAACAAGCAAGATATAGCTGTATGTTCTGCAATTGCATCTGTAGTCTCTAAAACAGACCTGGTAGATTTCTTCAGTAGAAGTATATATAATATTCAATATATGAGTTGCTTTATATATGAACTGGCTATTGCAGAAATTCACAGAAACCCTAATGTCAATATCTTTCATCTTGGTATTAGTGGACTTCTGCAGTGAACATCCTTGTGGAATAAATTTTGCTACATGCATTTCCTTAAAAAGCAAGTATACCTGTCAATGCCGATATGGATTCTACTACAGCGATAAGAACTGTTACAAAGGTGAGTTGCAGAAGGACATAAGTGCTTTTAGTTACCTGCTCAGGTGAATTTTGCTTCCCACATAGCTTGTTTTCATGTTATAATTGAAAACACAATCAGTCTGGGAAAGTGACTGCTGAGTGATTTCTTGCTTTGCAGACAGCCACTCCTACAATGACCTAGATTGCTATCTCACAAAACAGTGACAGCCAAAGAGGTTAATGTTCTAGGAAAAGAAGGTGAATTCTCTGTCAGGGATGCAGGAGATTAAAATGAGTGAGAAGCAGGAAGAAAGTGCAAGTGTAAACCTGACATCAATATTAATGACAGTGATTTAGAAAGGACCAAACCTATGAAGACCTGTGAACAACCAGATTGATTTTCCCCACTGCTAAACGCTCATCAGAGTCCTGTTGAAATGCGTCTCTGAAATGCTTCTGAAGGCCAAGCATGTGAGAAAATAGGGCTTGTTATTTAAGGATCAGCAAGCAGGATTCTCAAATTTATTTGTGAGACTAAAGAAGCAGGTCTATTCTGAACTACTTTCTCTGTAAACCACATTAGCTGCTTAATAGCTGCAGGTTCAGAGTCCTTAATATATGTAACACCTTGCATAGAGTCTTTTATCTTCAGGCCATGTAACATTTTAATGTTACTCAGTTTCATAATGAGGACAGATTGGTCAGGCCCAGGATCCTGCCTTCTTCCCTGGAGGCCAAAGTACATCCCCTATTGTGACTGAATTTGTCCCCTACTGATCCCTCCTGTATCTGAAAAATAGCACTGATTTATTTTCTGCATTGTATTTCCCCATCCCTGAAGACTACGGTGAGCACTCTAAGGTGAAACTGGACTTTGTTGAATGCTTTCTAATTTACCCACTCTGTTCTCATTCCAGGGCAAGTATACCCAGCGACAATTGCAGTGAGAGCACTTTACACTAGTAGTCTTCACAATGTAAATTCCACGGAATACGAAAAGCTGTTCGACAATGTATCAGCATTTGTGAGTGACAGTGGCTTTCCTAACCATTTATTAAATGCTATACTGGATGTCATGCAGACAGAGAGGACACACACTTTCTTTAATGTGGGGCCTGGAAAAGTTCCAGTCTGCAAGAAATGTGCTTCTTTCAAGGAATGCTTCACATTAGTTTAGAACTATTTATAAAAGACTTGAACTTTGCCCTCAGACGAGCACAGGCATGACTCTTGCTGGAGTGAAGGGATGCCCTGAAGTAATATCTGCATTTTTAATACCATTTCTATTCTGGGGAGTTCTCACATAAACTGCTCTGCATCTTTCACCGTTTTCTCTCCAGAAACAGTGGGCATGAGTGAAGTTTTTCAGGCTATTGAGTTTCTGATCTCTGCTGTTTGCTGAAGGCTCAATAATACTCAGTGATATGAGTAAAAATGAACAATTTTAATTTTTTTAAAGAAAAAAATTGACTCCACACAGCACAAACTCTTCTGAATGGCTGTCCAATTGTGTCTAAATACCAAATAATAAGCCTCTTCCATAAGTCTGTCAGTATTTTAATGTTATTAGTGAAATGGATAGTGCACATTTTTTATAATTCTATGATTATACATGAAATTTGGTAATAGATTTCCTGGAAAAAAAAGATGATCAGTTTAATTTATACTGCCATGTTGAAACAAGTGGATTTGCTTATTTCTCTTTCTGGCAGTAAGGAAGAATAGATATGCAATTCTACCAAATATCTGATTAAAAAATATTCACCAGATGTTAATCAGGAATCATCAAAAATAGTTATAAATGTCTGCATTTTATTATATTGCTTACTATGAATGTTGTAGCAGAAAGTGACAAAAAGTTGTTCCCCCATAATGTTAAAAAATATTTTCTCAATTTTTTTTGTCCAGCATCTTTTCATAGTATGGCTACAGAAGAACATCATATGTAGGACTAAAATAGATACATAATAGAAGGCAAAAGTGAAAATAGCATAGAGTTTGCATAAAACAGCAACAAATCTGAATTTTATTGCACTGTAAGATGGATAGTTTATCTTCCATTTCAGTTGAATTAGATATCTTATTCTCTTCTCACGGTGCCTCCTGCTTGTGTGGGAGTCGAAGGCAGCTGCCTCCACTGGTTGTTCCCAGCTTCACATGGGATGAGGGAGAGCAGTGACTTTTCTCCTGATCCTGTTCAGCTCCCAGTGCTTTCATGAGTGCTCCTTCCCGCAAGAATGACCCCTGATAATCCCACTCCACGTGCCTCTCAGGGACACGTGCCATCTGTGAGGAGGTTGACTTCTCCCTCTTCCCCCTACCATAGATTCCTGATGGAATTCATAGAAATCCATAGATTTCTGCTGTGGAGACTCCCTCCTAAGCCATGAGTTTGCAAAGGGGTATCTGTAACTATCAGACAGTTAACACTAATGCAATATCTGACTTTCATTCTCCATCCCTCCACTGCCCTCCCATATTCTGTGTCCTTCCATATTCTTCATCACCACCCCACTCTTCTCTTCAGAAGAGAAGGTTGCTCTTCTGCAGTACCTTGCCTGGTGGATTTAACACATCACATTACTTTGTTTGTGCTTATGGTAGCATATTCTGTATTAAAGTTTTACTGCTGAAGCCTCAGTGGTTCATGTGATTTTGGTCCATGTTTCTGCTTGCCTTGAACTCAAATTTCTTTCTCTTTTATAGTTCAGGGGGGCCTTACAACATAATGCGACAGGCTATATGCAAACCAACATCATAGAAATCCAGTAAGTTTCTCAGTTCTTTTTTTATTTTTTTTTGCACAGGACAGACTTCCACACACCTCATTTTAATCTGTTTCCCATGAAGTACTCAGTTCAGTAAAAGATATGGGATGAGTTCAGCTCAGAATGCTTCCCTGTAAAGGACGGATGCTGGCCCAATATTTTTACCCCAATATGTCTGTGAAATGGGCTGGCTGATGTCCTGCTTCTAGCACCATGTAGGACACAGCACTGTGCTGTAACTAACAGTCCCTGTGATATCTGACATGTCTGAAATTCTAACAGTTAACTCCGAGGTTTCTGTGACCTCTGGGTGAGCTACCCAGCTTGGAGTCTCACTTCATTTAAAAAAAAATCACCCTGTTACAGGAGGCATAGAAAATGCATTTAATTGTGCATTTGTTGGTGTCTCCTGGTGGCAGGTTGAGCAAAGATGCTGCTGCATGGGTTGTGGTGACTGTATCTGTGGGCATAGGTCCCTTGCTGGTCTAGGCAGACCATGTGAGATGTCCCTCTCCTCCCATCCCCATCAGTTACAGGTTACTGTCCCCAGAGCTCTGCCAGCTTCTCTGTGTTTCCTGACCCCCATCAAGCAAAACCTGGCATGCTAGCACATGTGTCAGCCCTTTCAGTGCACCCCAGGGATTAAGCAGCTAAACAGATTGTTGCTCTAACAGAGCTGTGTGGGCAGTACCCTCCAGCAGAGCAGTTGTGAGGTGGGACACAGTAACACCTCAAGGAACTTCAGCAATCTGCCACTTAAGGATAGTTGTGTGCTTCTCCTGGCAGCATGAGGTTTAGCTGGAGAACAGAGAAGTCACTGCTGCTCCCCACCTCACGGCAGGGAGCTTGCTGTGAGCAGAACCCAACCCAGACAGGGTGTAGTTTGCACAGATACCTCTACATCACAAACAGACCCTTCTGCATTCATTGTGGTCATACCCTAAATTGCCTTCACCACGCTTCAGGGTGGGCTCTCCACATCATGCCTGGATGACACCACAGGCTGATGGAAGCATCATCCAAAAGTTACGTTCTAGCAGCTGAGGTTCTCCACACTGCAGCTGGCTTGAGGTTAACCCAGTCAGAAAATGTCAGTTGTGTATCAACAGCACACAAAGGAGCGATGTTGTTAGTCTTAAATCCAGCAGCTAACTATTTATGCCTGGATCTACTGGAAAGATGGCTATTAATGTGTTCCTGAGCAAGACTTACTTGTTTTCGGGTCTCTTGGCAACCACCTACACTATGGGAAGAAAGACGCTGGGGAGAGAGGGAGATTTGGCAGAAATTTTCTCTCATCTTTGCATCTAGCTTGCTATCCATATGGAATATGTGAAACTTTAAAATGGTACTATCTGTCCTTTGCAGAGATGCAAGAGAAAGCAGAAATTCTGTTCTCAATGTAACAGTGACAAACCTGTTCACATGGGACACAACTGAAAATGCCACCACAATTAATGATATAATACAACATGCAATAGAAAATGGAAACATGTCCTATGTCTACTCCTATGAAGGTATGTAACTCCTTGCTAGGGAAGTAATTAATCAGCAGACACAGAGGTTCTTAAAACCTGGTTGGAAGATTTCTGTGGGCATAGGAGCCCATCAAATCATAAGCCCTGTTGATTTTAAGGAGCTGAATATTAAATCATGGGTAATTTTGAAGATTCAGCCATTCAGTGCTAGGCTCTTTTGTCTTATTACAGCTGCCTACTTCCTGTGTAAAGAAGAAAAGGAAAAGATTTATTCCCTGGTAAATAATGGCATGGTGTTTTAACCTGCTGAGTGTTAGGAAGTGGGAAAAATCAGGATAAAATAAATACAGATACATATTGTGCTTCTGAGAATAAGCCAGTATTTTACTGGCAAAATAGGATGAAACTCTCATAATAAGTCATGGTAATTGAAATGAGGCCTCACCAAATAGCTACTGAGCTAAAGGATTTGTTCATCTTAACCAGTAAAGTCTTGCATTATTAAAAGTGTAATACTGGGAGAAATAGTTTCCAATTAAAATAAGGAATTTTTTTTTTTCTTTTTAAATTTTAAAAAAAAATATAAGTTCCTATTTTGATATGAGCTTTCTTAAAGGGAATAGCTAATAATTAAGAGTCCATTTCATGGCTTAAAGCCTGAGTTTGGTCTCTGAAGGTGACTGTATCCTCAGCCATGAGGAGGAAATAGAAAACCACTGAGAGCTTCCGAGGCAGTCACATCCCTCTACAGCACGCCATGCACTGAGGCCTTTAAACCATTCCCAGCACAAGGATGTGGAGCTAAAGAGCAACACTCTGGGCAAACAGGACACTAATGCTGCTCATGAAATGAGCTGCATGCCCATAAATGTTTATATCCCTCTAGAACTGTATGGGATCTGGGTCTCACAGGTTCAGTTGTGGAGAAAACTAGGAGAAGAGTTATGGTGTTTCTCTGTATGGTTTTTTTTAAGGTGAGTCAGAAAGTCAGTTTTCAGAATATGGACTTAGGGGAAGAATGTCCCTTTTCGTAGACTGGAGGCAGGAAGGTATGGAGCTAGTCATAGGAGGCTGAGAAACAGAAGGTCAGAAGATGTCACAAAAACAGGACCTTAACTGGTAAAGGGCAAGGAGGAAAAAAAGAGCGGGTCCAAAAGCCTGTAATATTAATGTCACAAGAAAAGGATTTATAATTTTTTCTATTTAGAATTACTAAATAATTGGTTTATGTTTTACTGGGTAAGTGCACTGCTTTCTATGAAATGGTATTCAGGTTTGCTCCCTGTTTCTCTTTTAAAGTTGCAGAACACTGTTCTGTTTATAAATGTGATAACAGAACCACAGATTGTCATGGGAGCATGTTTCCAGAATGCAAATGCAAACCTGGTTTAGCAAAGACAATATGGGATGATCGTTCCTGTTCAGGTAAGAACCTTGCTGCTTTATCTATCCCTGAAAGGCTGACCTCCTTATTCCCTGTCTCAGTCCCTTTTTGAGAAGGGTGCTGGGCAAATGTGCTGAGCTCTAAAAATCAGGGAATGTGCATCCTGTGAAGAAAGCTGTAGAAACACATCCTCATGTTTCACTTTGAACAAATCTATAATTTTATCCCAGCAGAATAAATTATTAAAACTCGATAAAATCATCACTGAAATCAGTGAGTAGGCAAGTCCTTAAACGCATTGTTAAGATCCTGGTAAAAACTGAAAGCTAAGCAGGTAAAGGATGGAACAAATTGAATTCTATACTCACAGCCTTCTCTGCTAGGACATATTTTGGGAATAAATTCTACATGTTACTTGAAGGCAGCTGACAGAATTGGAAGTCTCATGATCCACTACAATGGTCTGTTAAGGCTCTGTCCCTTGTTAATAATTCTAAATGATTTAGCATTACCTGGATTTAGACAGGCTTTTGTGAGAAGAATGATTTTTGTCACTTTTGGGAACTGTTGTTAGGGCTTTATTTACTTTCTTGTTTTGAGTCTTTTATTGAGTGCTTTTTATATTTTACCTACCCTCCAAAGCCCTGTGATGTACCTAATTTTCTTCAGAATACTTTATTTTTTTCTTATGGAAACTAAATTTTTCACACTACAGAAGTTAAAAAGAAGTCTAAGATGTAAGATTTACAACAAATAATTCAAAAATCCATGATAAAGTTATGAGAGCTGGCTACAAAAAATCCCAGTGAGATGTGATCCAGTGTAGGCCTTTGTGGTCCCATGCCTGTCTAAAACTGATACATCTTGCCATACAAATCATCTACTGTGAGATCTAACTTCAGGCCATTGCTTGCCTATGGAAGATGCAGCCTAGCCAGACTTCCTCTTTGATGAAATTGGATGGTTTTAAACACAGCCTCTTCACTTCTAATTTTGTGATTTTATATTTCAGTTTTTGTTTTACATAGTGTCAGTCCTAAAAAAGCCCTTCTGATGTTTTAAAGCACAGGAGAGAGGGGTGTGTGTGTGTGTGTATGTTCCCAGAGCAAAAAAATAATCTTCTATCTGCAATTCACTGATGTTTTTCTCCCTGAAAATACAGTTTGCAGTGAAAGCTGTTCTGCAGCATCATACAAGTACTGTGTAAGAGAAGAAGGGGTTCCAAAATGTAAATGTATGGCTAACTATAAAAACATGACTGGAGACTGTGTGGCGTGAGTATTCGGCTTCTTATCGCGCTCCTGTGTTGTGGGTGAAGGCAGGGGAGAAGAACATCTGTCCCAGGGTCAGCTGCAGTCCAGGAGACCAGGGGGGTCAGAGGGGTGCCCCAGGGGGATGGACAGCAGCTGGTGTCACAAGCTGTGACTCCTTGGCCTTAGCCTTTTGTGTGCACTCATAGCACCTCGGAGGAAAGGCAAGGAGACCCAAGGTCACCCGTGAGCCAGGGATAAAGTAATTCAGCACACAAACTACCCCAACAGCGTGGCTGAGCCATGGGAACTGCTGTGCTGAGGTGTTTAGTAAGCAACAGGCATCAGAGCACGACGTGCCTCCAGCCCCTGGAATGTTTGCACTGGTATCAGTGGGGACTGTTTCCAGACAACTTTCAGAGCCATGTTATTCCTGCTTGGTTTTCTCTCTGAAATTATTTCTGTCAGCTCAGGATCAGAACGGGACAGTGTTTGCTGGTGAGGCTGAGTAAGTGACTGGTTGTGCCCCGTTCTGGTGGATAGACAGAGACTCACTCCCCATATCCATTAATTCAGCTCTTTTTGTAGTTATTACTGCTGCAAATTGAACATTTCTTACCATAAAATCAATATATTTTAATTATAAGAAACTACTATGGGAAGAAGATAGAGTTGTAAATCCTTATAGACCTTATACTGAGGCATTTGTTAAAGTCATTGCATGGCAATTCCAAGTGGCTCAGATGTGCAGAGTTCAGTTCTTTAGAAAAATTAGGTCCTTTTAATATTTTTCAGACTGAGAGCCTGAAACTTTGAGTGCTGAGATCACCAATCACTCTGAAAATCTCAGACTGTTTCACTCTAATGAAAGTAAATTATTTAACAGTAAGAGAGGGTTAAAGAGGAAACCTGTAATGAACACACTTTGTGGAGAAATTGCTGACAAAAGGGGGATATATACTATTGTTTTGTGATCATAGAATGGTTGGGATTAAAAGGGACCCTAAAGATCATATTTTCTTTCTTCCCCCTTTTTCTTTTTTCTCTCCTGTAGCTGTCCAGTGGGCTACGCTGGGGAGGATTGCAGCGACAGTAAGTATAAGAACTTCCAATTTTTAATCATGGTCTTGAAAAATACCTAGTGATGCTTAATCTGTCTGAGCTAACAAAAAAGTAGCAGACTTTAGGGGTGCCACCATTCTGCATTTATAGAAGGAAAATGTTAAGGAAAAAAAGTGAAATTTTTCTGTAGCCTCATGTACCTAGGAAATGAGAAGAGCCTATTTGACACCTAACTACACAATTTAGCATCAGTACTAGCTTAAACAATCCCTACAATCCTCCCAGCTGTTCCTGTCCCTCACCTATAGCTGTGTGTAAAACCATTCAGTGCATAGCATTAGGAACAAGAGCTGGGGTCAAAATAGCTATGCATAACAAATGGTCTTTATTGCAGATCCTTAATTTACATCTTCCTGTGTCCACAAAATGTTGTAAGCACCAGGAGCCTGGAAATAAATCCCTTTCCTTTTCACTGTGAGTTATTAATTGACACATTTCTTCTTTGCTGTTTTTTCTTCCCCAGATAGTGAACTCATCCTTATAATAGTGGGCACAGTGTTGGGAGCTGTTGTCCTGATTTTAGTGATAGCAGTCTCTATTGTTTCAGTCAGGTAAGAATATTTCTTACAGCTGAATAGAAACTGCATTTTTGTGTGTTCATAATAAGGGTTTTGCACTAGGTATGCTTCAAAAATGTGTTGCATGCCTCAGAACGGGACTGACTATTCCAAATAAGGTGGGAGTGGACAAACCACTTAGTTGGACTTGATAAGTAAGGCACACTAAATAGTCTTTTAAAATCTCTTTTGTTATTTCATCTCCTCTGAAGAGCAAAGCACAAACAAAATCCAGAGAAGAAGAGCCTGATAAACCCAGGGTATACCAACAAGAATACTTCTGATGAGAGACCAAGCTTGTTCCCCAGGGTCCAGACCACTTCTGGCCACACAAACCCAGGATATCAGCCAAACAACCCCTATGACATGCGTTCCACAAATAGAGACAATTTTCCAGAGAGGGATTATGACAATTTGGTAAGTGTTTCACATAGTCCTGTAGGAATGGAATAGGAGCAGTAGCACTGTGGGCTACAGACACTGCTGGAACCTAAGCTCCCCTCTGCACATCCTCCCTTGGTCTAGAAAGCCAAAGTAGTACAAAGGCACCCAAACAACTGTAGCTGCAGATGAAAAAAAATGTATTAATACAAAAATTTTCCTTAGTGCAGAGATCAGCACTCATAAAGACCTTTCTAAGCCCCAGTAGTCATCCTTGAGCCACAGGAGGGATATGTGAAAAGCAAGGGTCAAAGCAAGAGCTCGGCAGCCCAGTGATCTGCTGGTCATAGGATATTTGTCTGCACTGGCCAAACTCATCCCTCAGCACAGCTGTGCCTGCAAGCATCACAGGCTGCTACCACCTGAGCTTCTTTTAGGCTGCTGTAGAGCCAACAGGTGCTGCAGTGGCACCTCCCAGCTGCAGACTCATGCAAGATTCACAGTCAGCTTAAGCTGGGACTGGATGGCCAGGGGGTTGTGTCCTCCCACCTGGCTGCTGCTGCCTCGTTCACAGCAAGAGCATCTGCAGCTGCTGCAGCATTGCAGAGGGGAAAGGTGTGAAGTGCCATGAAAAATATTGAACAGTTTTGGCACTGCTGTGGCCCAGGGCAGCCAGGTCAGCAGAGGTGTGTCACTACATGGAAGGCATGTTGTAAAAAAGAAAGAAGCCTGTTTTATCCTTGAATTCTGCAAGGGAGCCGTGGAGGAAGCAGAGGCTTGAGATTAGTTCAGTTTGGGTTAATAACACCAAGGTTGTGGGATCAAACCCTCTATTGCCAATCATGCAAATGCTGGACTTGATGATTTTTGTGAGTCCTTATTTCTTTTCTTGTCTGACAATTCTCTGTAGTACGAAGCATCACAGGAGCCTAGGGGCTTTAGGAGGAAATATTGAGTGACCAGAGCAGTAGAAGGATGAATGACCACCACAACTCTTGGTCAGAGCAAAGAGCTTCACAGCCTCTCACCAATGCAATTACTTCAGCAGAGAAGACAACACCATCTTAAACCCCAGATTCTCTCAAGATTTTCTAGAGGAAGATTCCTGCTTGAAAGAGATCATGGACAACTTTGAAATAAGGGAAAAATGTTAGAGAGTAGGGAGAAGAAGAGGACTTCTTTTAAAAGAGCTAATGTGGTCTAATAAACATTCAACTTTTTCAATGAGGCCAATCCATTGGCAAGAGAGTGAGTGTACACAAAATACCAGGATTTTAACCCTGCTGATTTTCATTTCTGGAAGATGGTCCAGGCAATATGTGTGATGCTGAAAAACATCACTACAGAGCTTCACTTGGATTTGTGCTCACTTAATTTGAACTACAGCTTTGGGCAGATGAAAACTGTTTTTCATGAGAACCTGACCTGTTTCACTTTACTATATTAGATACAGGTTTTTTCACCCTCCTCAACCTGCCAATATTTCCCATCTGAAAGCATTCTGTTCATATCTCTGCTGACATGGGTTGTGTGACACAATGGCACTTGTCTGACCTTTTCCACAGCCTTCCTTCCCAATACAATGGCAAGATATGATATCTTCAAACAAACACTATTCTTCTTCATCTTGCAAAACTGCATTGATTTTACATTTTTAGCTCCTGTGGAAAGTGTTAGCAATTTTTTTTTTTTTTTTGATTTTGCAGTCTTTATTTTTGAATGATAATAAGCTTGGTGTTTGGGTTTTCTTAAATTTTTTTACATACAGTCGTTAAATCTGTCTGTAAAAGGATTTATATTTTACTGTATTTTACTGAGTGTGCATTATCTGTTGACCGGCATTAATATTATAGTTATATAAAATACTTGTTTGCACACATATGTACATATATTTATAGGCTACAATCATTTAAAGCATCATTTAATTCTGTTGTATTTTGTGTTTTGATTTTTATATATGCAGATTAACTTTTCCTATTAAACATTATTTTTTTTCTCAGTACCAAGGCTTTCTTATGTTCCTCCCAGTGATTTAAATGGGTTTTTTTTAAATTCCAGACTATTTTATGTTAAAATTTGTGCAGACTTTAGACACAAGTGCACACAGACTAATTACATCAGTGCCCTTCACTCAGAAGTTCAGAAATGTTATTATTAATGAAGTTAAAATGTTTATTGTTGTGAGACTGGCACCAATATTCAGTGGTTGCTTTTGGTGGGAACTGGGTGATTATTGCAGCTGGATCTCCTTTGAAAATGCTGGACAAGCTTTGTGTGATGGCAGCTGTTAATGGCCCAGATGAAGTGTCCTTCAGCTTAAAGGACAAGTTTGGGGGTCAGTGGCAGAGAGCACTGTAGGTGGCTGCAGAGATTACCAGGCTGTCCATGCAGATGCTTCTTTCCAGTCTCTCCATGATCAAAACCAGCCCCCTCACCACTTAAGTGATTGAAAGCTGGGACCTAAATAGTCCTGATCCTTCTCATGTGGCTTCTGTAGCAAAAGAAGACAGACCCTGCTTTCTCAGAAGCAGCCTGGTGAGAAAAGGTGCCATTTTCTCTCTGTTGTTTTTCTGAGGTTTCATTGTTTCTTTCTTCCCATTCACTCCTGTCCCCTTTGCTGCTGTCCCCTGGCTGCAGAGTGTCTGCCATTGGCAGGGTCTGTAGAGACCAGGTTCTGGTGGCCTCAGCCAACCCCACCATCTGTGTGCATGTCTGCACGCTCAGCGTGGGAGCAGGGCTAGCTGGATTTAACTAGTCACGATACCTTGTTCAAAGGATGGGGAGGGATTTGGTCTTATTTTCCTGACTTTTCCTCCGAGAGTACAGCCCCGTGAGGAGCAAAGCAAGGCACAAAGGTGGCTACACTTATCAAAAAGAGGCAGAGAGAACCATTCTTCCTCCAGCTGGAAAAGCCCTGCAAGCAGGATGAGCTCCTTCTCCCAACAATTTAATGTGTGCCCCCTGCCCCACCCCATGCCTGCTGCCTCCTTCTTTTTCTCTGAGCCTTGTGTGTCTCCACAATAACCTAGGTGCTCCCAGCTTCTAATCCTCCTGCTCAGTCTTTTTCTTTCCCCCTTTTCTCTGACTTTTCAGCAGCAGGAAAAAGTTCTGCCATCTGCAGCACTCTGTTAGCCCCATGGAAGGCTCCACTCTGCATGTGCTGAGACACTTGAAAATGGATGGGATAAAGGCAAAAACTGGCCAAAAGTCATGAAGCTCAGCTTCATCCAGCTGGCTACTTTTGCTTGGACACCTCCTCCTCCCAATCTTTGTATGGCAGACTGAAACTTTGGCTTACATGGAGCTGAATAAAAAAGGTTTTCCTGTATCATCAGTAACGGCCCACTGGAATGGTCATTGTGGTCTTTCACTGAGGCAAATTGCCTGGCTCCATTCATAAAATACATGTAACAGTAACCTGCTACAGAGGCACGTGGAAATGCTTTTGAGTGTTATCTCCTACTCTTTTGCAAAAGCAAGAGAGGTTGGAAATGCAACTGGATGCTGAACAAGAAATTTTAATGCAGTAAAACTTTATTGAGGGTGTGCTATCACTGGTAATAAAAGCAGCAAAAACAGTCAGGTGTTTGCACTGTTTCACTGCATAGGAATTTTTGTTGCTCTAATTCAAAGCTAATATCTGCAACTGCAACCAGTTCTCATTTAGCCAGTGCTGGGGAGGGGCTATCAGATACCACTGTGAGCCTGCTTCTTTTTAGCATTTCAAAGGCTGCTACAGTTCTTTTATCTGGGCTGGAGTTCTGTAGCAAAAGGGGCAAACTCCCAGATATTGCACTTCTGTTTGTCTGTTAGCAGTGTGTGACTATTCTGGGAAATGTCATCATGGAAAATAGCTCTTTGTTGGGTTTTATGACTGCTGCCTCTTGACTCATGCTTTGTTTCAGCTGCCCATCCTTCAAAATCCAAGTAGGCATAGGAAAGGAGCTGAGTTGGGTGCTCACTGGCAGTGTGAGTGTGGATACGCCTGCAGGCAGGCTGGGAGGCTCCAGGGATCTGCCACAACCCATTTTGCGTTCTGGGTTCTCCCATCCATCTTCTCCCTTGAGCTGCAGAGCGTCCTGCTGGTGCATGACCCACAGAGGAGGTGGGAAGAAGCTGCCCCTCAAGCCTGCCACCAGTTTTTGTCCTAGACCAAAAGTCACTCTGGAGAGTGTAATTGCCTGGCATGTCTGCACAGGGTGTGCTGAACAGTGCTAAAGGAGCTGGGACAGAGGTTTGCCTGGTTTCAACACATACTTGCTTGGGAATATTGGCATAGCTTCAGCCATCTGCCATTCTATGTTTATTTAGATATACCCAAGCATATTCAAACAATGTGGGGTGGGAGGGGAGGGGCATGGTAGGTACTGTGGATGGCAGTGGGGTAAGAACCTGGGTCTGGGCAGCTGCCTTAGAGGAGCTGCATCTGAGGAATGTAATGGGATGGCAGGGTAAGAATGGGTGGGGTGCTCAGGCCTGCTGCTGTCAGCACTGCTTACAGCTGAAACCAGCCTCAAAAGTGAGAGCTAAACCTCTGCATCCACACATTCCCCAGCAATGCTCAGCATCCAAACTTGCAGGTGTGAAAACAGCACCTTTCAGGCCTGAAGGCAGGAAGCACTTTGCTTTTTTTTTGGCTGCTTGTTGGAGGAAGCTGCCCATTGTTTCTTTTAGGAGACTGTTTTTATACATGTCCTTCATGCCATGTGCCAGGCTGGAGGCATAAACATGGAAAAGTGAACAATGAAGGTAAGATACCACTGCAGACCAAGGGGCTTGACTCTTCACTTCTTGAGCACCTTGAGTTTGATGGCTGGCTGTTTGCAAGGTGAATGACAGCACTCCTTCCAACAGCAGGGACAGGGGTGAGGGAAAACGAGCCTCTCCTCTAGCAAGAAGTTTGCACCTCCTCTGTAGGAACGCCTTCAAAACAGAAACTGCTGGTATGAGAGTGTTTGGGAAAGCTCAGGTGAGGGTTGAAGGGATTCAGGCAGGTGTTCTGGTGAACATGACTGTTCCTAGCTGGTTTTGGGGAGACCACCTCAGCTTCATCCTAGGCTCAGGAAGGTGACTGACCTTGGTACAACCCAGAGACAGAGGATCCTGCTGGTAATTTGTAGTTTAATAACCCACAATCTGCAGCAAGGCAAGCCTAGCGCTGCCTTATCTGTCACTCCTGTGAGAGGACTGTCATTTGTCAAGTTTGGCAGCTGCAAAGTCATCAATTGCTGTTCTATCCACATTTCCCATCCTTCACCCTTTTAGTTTTAGCCCAGTAATGCTCTCTGTTTCAAAGCCATCTGTCTGGTGTTGGGGGGGAAGAGTAGATTCGCTTACTAAGGGTTCCCAGCAGCATTAAATTGACCTCTCTCACATTTTGGGGTGTGAGCTGAAAACACTGATTTTTATAGCAACTTGTCAAAAAAAATAATAAAAATCCCCAAACCCAAGACTAAAAGCCCAAAGTGGTGGAAGAAGAAAGAAACCCATAAAACATGTCAGGTCAAAATTAAACAGGAAAGATACAGGGCTAAAAATAAGATCTGTAAACTTCCTTGCCAAGGATGCTCTAGCTGCTGATAAAAGGCTCTTTAAATATACCAAAGCCACAAAGGCAGCTAGGAAATCAGTGGGAATGCTGATGACAAGGGTGTAGGAACAGCAGATGGGGACGATGATGTAGCAGAGAAAGTCAGTGGTAACTTTGTGGCTGCTTTTACAGCTGAAGCTGTTGGGCAGCCCCACATGTCTGCCCGAATGCAGTGGATCAGCTGGAAGAGCTGGAGCAAGGGAGGAGAAGGGCAACACAGAGTAAAGAGCTATCAGGAGTAAAGGAAAAGTAAGTCAAGTCACTTTCATGGAGGTAAGAGGAGGGATGAGGTCAAATAGACAAAGTGGTTGTTGAAGTGACTGGGACCAGCCACCGATCCTGGGGACCCAAAGGAGCAGCAGAACCCAGAGGTGCAGGAGTGGGGGGCTGTGGTGCCCAGCTGTGCTGCCAGGCACAGTCAGCACATCACACCCTGCAGACTCACTGAGCTGCACTGAGCCATCACTGATGGGTTTGCAGAGCCTCTGACTCAGAGTGGCAGCCAAACACCCACTAGAATCTGGGGGTACACAGTGCAAGGCTCAGTGCAAAGCAGACAGAAAAAACCTGCAGGCACAGTTGGTGAACTTGCTGTCACAGGATGCTGTGGATGCTGTATCTGCAGGTTCAAAAAGAAATTAGGCAAATTCAGAGATGCAAATGCATCCTTGAGAGATGTACCCCCTAATAAAAGGATGAGAAAGATGGGGTGCTGGAGGAAGGGGCTGTAAAAAAGCTGGGCCCCCAAGACAGTCTGTCCTGTTGCACTTGCTGGAGCAGAGTCTGGGTCTGGATGGACATCCTGGACCAGAGGGACATCTCTCAGCTTCTGAATGCACTGACCTGCTTTATTCAACAGCAGCATGGGCTGAAAGGTGATGCCATTGGCATAGGTACATAGGATCTTATATGCCCCAATTATGCCCATGCTGTTCATAAAACAGAGGCAGGGTAAGGTGCTGTACATGGGGCTCTGATGTTTGTGTAAAAACAGCCTCATAAAAGAAACAAAGGGGAAATTTCACAAGCAGATAACTGAAAAAAATGCTTCCTGCTTTTGAGTCTGGAAGGTGCTGCCTTTCACAGACAGGCTCCAAAGAGCAACCTCCAGAGAGCAAAGTCTCCTCTCCCAGAGAAGCAAACCCAGACCAACAGCTCCCACTCTCCCTCTCCTGGTGGAAGCAAAACATCTTCTAAAGTCTAAAGGTGAGCTATGCCTCACCTTCTTCTCACTGCTCCCAGTCCCCTGGACACTGTCTCCAAACCCCAGGCAGTGTCCCCCAGAGAACCCCCTACAGTGGGTGACATCGAGGGGAACAGAGAGGAAACATCTGCCCAACAGGTGGCCCAAACATGGCAGAGATTTCTCCAGGGG